ACCCCTCCCCCGTCACCAATCCCATTTTTACCCCACCCTGACGCCCCCCTCCCATACCCTCTCCTCCACCAGTTCCCAAGATAAACAAAGACCTCAGTTTGTCTGGCCTCTAATGGGGGTCACATAGCCATGAATGGAGGGGCCAAATTGAGGAGGCTCTTTCTCTTCTTTTATAACAAAAGGAGGAACGGCAGAGTTTTCTCTGTGATGGCCCAAGGGGGTGGATGAATGGCTGTATTGTATACCTGCCAGCTTTAGTCTGACTTTTACTGTTTGACTTTTAACGCCTAGTAAAAATCTCAGAGATTGTGTTGGTAAGAAATGTGAGATCATTAACATACTCTCTGTAAGCAGAGAGATACGAGTGTGATTGTATTTATTTATTTAATTGATTTATATTTAATATTTTATTATATTATTATTATATTAAGTAACTGGTTTATCGCTGGTATTTCTAGAACTCTGCAGCTTGTGGGAGAATATTCTCAGAATGCTGTGTTGGTTGTGTTTTGGAGAGCTTTGATAGGGTTTTGCCCATTCCAGCACACACAGCACTGATTTGATTGGACAATGACACCTTTGAGCTTTGAAAATAAGAGGGATTCCTCCTTCTGTCTGTCTGTCTGTGTGTGTGTGTGTGTGTGTGTGTGTGTGTGTGTGTGTGTGTGTGTGTGTGTGTGTGTGTGTGTGTGTGTGTGTGTGTGTGTGTGTGTGTGTGTGTGTCAATCTCAGGGGTGTGTGTTGGAACAAGATGCATGAGTATCAGATTAGCTTTTTGTTTGTCAAACACAGTGAAAACAGCGAACCTAGTAAACAAGAAAATATAGTTATTAGCAAATAACCATTAAGGTTGAAATAGACACACAGGCAGTTTGATAAATGGATTTTTGGCCTTTTGTATTTTGGCTTTGTTAAGAAGAGATATTCATCTTGCTGAGAGAATCTAGACTCTGGAGTTTGTTGGCTTTCCTCATTTCCTGGTGACAAAGGGGTTATTGTAGCAGAACTTGCCTGGACATGTTTCAGGGCTGGTGATTGGCTGTTTGGCTGCTGCTCTGGAGAGGTTTCAGATTAACTAGAGAGAAGAAGACACAGAGGGACTGTGACCTCTAACCCAACATGTCAGGGGTCAAAACACCTTGGTCAAAACCCATCGATCTTCTTATGGTATTCCTTATCTACTCTATGTTTTAGCCTGCAGATATTTGGTTACTTTGCAGTCAGGTTCAAATGTTTTATTATTTGTGCATTTGTATTGTATTTGCGAGACATTCTACTGCACTGTTGGAGCTAGTAACATGAGCATTTCGCTGCACCTGCTATAACGCCTACAAATGTGTCTACGCGACCAGTAAACTTTGATTTTATACGTGTATTTCTGGTACAAAGCCTTTGTAAAAGGAGGTAGCTATTACAGTACCAAATATGTTCCTAAATAATATGTAGGCTATTCTCATTGTAAGAATGTAGAAGGACCAGGGTAAAGTTTGTGTGGCCCTTTTTCACCAGCCCTCCCCCACACACTAAAAGCTTGGTCGCAGATCCTGCTTGTTGACACCAGGCCTACTGTGGCCTCAGCTCAGTCTCTCAATAAATAATTTTAATCAAACCAACATTTCCCTTAAATTCCTCAAGTTTAGCCTGTACATTACAATCTCTCTCTCTCACACACACACACACTTGCTCAGCAGGAAAGTGCTTCGCAACTCACTTCTCTCTTCTCTCTCCCTTTCACTCCCTCTGTCTTTTTCCAGGAATCTGGAATTCTGGAAGTGGGGCCAACGAGTTTAAGAGGGTGATGGGTCGGACAGCTGCATGCGTTTAGCTTGGAAGGAGCCAGGCATGTACTCACATGTATGCAGCCATTCCTCTGTCTGTCCCAATACAGGGAGTGGAGAGAGGATGAGTGCTTAGTAATCACATCACATGCAGATTAGTCATGAAACATAAACAGAAAAGAAAACCATTCCCACACCTTTAGAGATCCTTCATGCCTACTCGATCTTTCCGTCTCGCTTTCACGCATGCAAACACTTGCACTACTTTTCCTGAGAAAAAGGTGATGCAAATTATAATACTGTACCTAACCCTTTTCAAATTCCTACCATCTTATTAAGCCAATGTAATCAAGCCAATGTATGCCTGTGGCAAATAAACTACACATTTATGAAATAATCTTCATTCCAGTGTTCTTCAAGCCTTGCCCTGTGGATCCACAGGGAGTGCAAGCTTTTGTTCCAGCCCAGCACTAATAAGACACATGATTCAACTGATCAAGGGCTTGATGATTTGTTGAGTCCGGTGTGGTACAGCAGCAATGGGCTGGAACAAAACCCTGCACATCCCAGAGAACCAGGATTCAAGTACACTGCTCTCCTCCTCCCTTTCTCTCTCTCTGTTTGTGTTCTGCTGCATGCGTGGTCAGCTGACTGGTAAGAGCCCCTGTCCTGGGACCGCCCCGTGTTAGCCTGCCTAGCCGGGATCCTTCTGATGGATCTCCAGGGAGCACCAGCTATTAATTCCCAGTTTCCATGTGAAAGAATGTGGCCATGCAGGACACTTAAGCCCATGCTGCATTGGATCAATTTGGTGTTGGAAATATAACAATATTATTATTGATAAATGTACTGCATTGTTGAGGGAGCTAGCACATAAGCACTTCGCTGCACCTTTTATACCTGCTGTAAACTGTGTGTGACGAATAGATTTTTATTTGAAATATGTTTGTATATCCATAACATGCATGCACCCTGTTCCTTAATAGTACCATTTCGTATTCATTGAGATGTTACAGGGCTATAAGGGTTTTATCCTTTAATACCCACCATGTTGCACATTAATTTTAGACTGAGTCTATGGTCACGCCCCCAAGTGTACAGTACTGTAGTGAGTTTATGTAAACAGTTCTCCTGTAGGTTTGTTGAGTTGACCTCTGGGCTTCCCTGTGGAAAGAATTTGAGCTAGTCACCTCACTGACATTGAAGTGTAAAATTAAGTGTTCAAGTTAAACAACCAGTGGCGTGGTTTAGATGGTTCAAGTTGGTAAAATAATAGTTTAGGTAACACTACAATTGATTCCTGGCCACATGTACTTTAGGTTAAACAGCTATTAGTTGACCTACATGTTGAACTGCACAAGCCAGGATTAGCTTTAACACAGCAGAGGCTAGAGCAGAAACGTGACACTGCATAGCAGACATGCCTGTGGGCACAATGTAAATGGTTTACAGCGTAGAGTAAAAAACGGGTTTGATGGCCGACTATCTGGGCCAGGTTAAGGGCTTGTAATTAAGCATTTCACTGTAAGGTCTACACCGGTTGTATTCGGCGCATGTGACAAAAAAATGTTGATTTGAAATAGGTTGGCCCTCCCCGCTGAGCTATAAAAGCGATGTATGTTGAGATGTTGCAAAATGATCAGACCAGACTAGAGGAACAGTGCTGGTTATGTCACCAACATAGGGTCTTCTGTACACATCCACATGGTCCTCTGTAGCTCAATGTGGTCCTCTGTAGCTCAGCTGGTAGAGCACGGCGCTTGTAACGCCAAGGTAGTGGGTTCGATCCCCGGGACCACCCATACACAAAAAAAATGTATTACTTTTTTTTTTTTTTTTACATTTTTGTCATTTAGCAGATGCTCTTATCCAGAGCGACTTACAGGAGCAATTAGGGTTAAGTGCCTTGCTCAAGGGCACATCGACAGATTTTTCACCTAGTCGGCTCGGGGATTAGAACCAGCGACCTTTCGGTTACTGGCACAACGCTCTTAACCACTAAGCTACCTGCCGCCCTAATGTATGCACGCATGACTGTAAGTCGCTTTGGATAAAAGCGTCTGCTAAATGGCATATTATTATTATGATGCTAAGCAACAGCTGCTCTATCAAGGTCAAAACATTCACTTGTCTCTAGCAACACCACTAGAATTGCTGTGAGAATGGGCACAATGGAGCAAGAGCTTCTAAAAGCTGTAAGCTTAAATTGACTGATGTTGGGTTTATTTAACCAGGGGCTACATGTTGCATTCCCTTTGAGAAATAAAATATATTTAATGGCAATGCAAGGTAAAATGACTGGAAATTGTTTTTATTACTTGAAGGTTCACACAATACACCTGCATATGATAATGTATCATAAGTACTGTAAATGCAATATTGTGAAGTTGGCTACTGCTCAAATGGTGTCCTACATCCCCCTTTCAGCTCACAATTTGATTTGATCCCCGTGTAGCTCAGTTGGTAGAGCATGGCGTTGGGTTGTGGGTTCGATTCCCACGGGGGGCCAGTATGAAAAATTTATGCATTCACTAACTGTAAGTCGCTCTGGAGAAGAGCGTGTGTAAAATGTAACGCAACATTTTTTTGGCCAACCCACCCCTACTAGGTCACACATTACACTATCCGTGTCGCAACACTCGCTGCATTATGTGCAAACCAACCCCCATGAAAAAAAGAGCACAGAAAAGTGAATTGTTAGACAATGTTTTAATACGTGAGCATCACGCAATTATCATAATCCATGGCAGATACCAAAATACATAGATTGAGTAGGACATGGGAAAACAGTATTTACAGTCACAATATTACAAATGTACAAGTCTTTATAAAACAAAGACACTGTAGTGACCAGCAAATTCATATCAACAGATAGCGTTAGCATTGAGTCACATTCAGTCCCATATTAACGTTACCCTCGTTAAAAAATTATATTTCACCAATTTATACTTAAAGCTTTTGGTACAATGTAGACGACTTGTGTAGAAGCACGTTTCAAAGTATTGACTATCACTTCCGAATGTACCTCTCGCACATTCTTTCAAGAGATGTTCCATGTAAATAACTACTACAGTAGGCCTACTTTCATTATGATGTTTGGGGAATTCCAATTTTACAAGGTGCTCAGTCCACCACGTGTATGTGAGGATAGTTTTGATGGAACTTTGCTTTATGTTCCAGCTTTATTCATATCCCCAAGCGTCAAAACCACAGTTTCAAAGTTCAAAAAGCGACAATTGCAGTACTCCAAGGGTTGAGGTTTTTGAGCATTTGATCACAACAGATTTGCCCTGAGTCACTGTCCTCTACCTCGGAATCGGGCTGCGCTCCGTCTTCACTACTCAAGAGTCCAGAAAAACTGGAACCGAATATTGTTATCAAACTCGATACGTTGCTAGTGTCCATTTCTTCGGTTTCCCCTTTATTTTCGTCGTTTTTAGAAATTAGAAGTGGGGATATGACTTTCGTTCTTTTCGGCAGGGGGTCTTTGAGTTCAGAGTCGTCGGCACTCCGTTTCCTGTTAGTGTACGCCCGGGGCACTTTGGGCTTGTGCGAATTTTCCTCCACTGATTCACTGTCGTCCGTCTGGCAGTCGGTCGGCGTCTCTGTGGCCTCTTTTGGATTACTCGGAGAGGGATCACTAATACAGTTGGATGAGATAGTAGTAACAACGTTGGAGACCTCACATGTAGCACTAGCCTCCGGGCTCTCTTCCGTTGTTTTCAGGTCGCTGCATCCTGAATCCAAAATTACATTTTCGGCGTGTTCTTGCTCGCCACTCGCTTGAGACTCAACGTCCAGTGACGCGGGGGATTCGACCACATTGATGGGCTCTCCCTTGTCCACCGCCACTTCGCTTTGCCCGTCTGATTCAGGCAGGCTCTCTGTCGAACCGGGGACCAATTTGTCTTGTTCTGAGTCCATGTACTCTCCCTCACACCACTCTCTTGCTTGCTGAGCGCTCAGGCATATCCCGCCGTAGTAGTCACGAAGGTATACTTGCCGGGCACTCCGTAGAACGAGGGAGACCAGTAGATTTTTGTGTAGTTTTATACCACCACGTTGAACTCTGGAGTTGTAAATCTTCCCCAGTGAAATACTCATAATCCGATGCGCCTCAACTTTATACTCCATGATTAAAAACTGAGGTTGATAAGCAAAAGCACCCCGTCTCTTGTGTTTCAGTCCTCGTGGAAACACAAATGGTTAAAAGTAGCCTAATCCTCAAATCCACGGTGGAGTTGCTTGACCTATAATGTAGCGACTGACTGTGGGCTATTCGCTTCCAAATGGCACTTAATTCTCAACAGTGACGTAACTGCTTGTTTGTTTTAGAAACAGACATTTAATAAACGCAAGATGTGCTTCATCGTTTCCATGTGCAGAAGCAAATCAGTGCATGGTCTAAGAAATTAAGGGTTGCGTTAACTTCTTACACCCTTCGCCCTAGTCACCAGCTGAACATTGAGAGGAATGGGATTGGTTCTAGTTTAACACTCCTTTATACCCTAACGTAATAACCACGTCAGCCAATGAAAACACATGTCGTTTTTACAATCGCTACTACGGTAATTCCGCCCCGCCAAATTCATATGGACCAATGGGCGTGCGCTAAAGAGAGAAATCAAATTTGAATACACAAGTGGGAGAGTGATTTAAAGACGTAAACACATGTTTAAACCCCTGGTGGGAATTGCTATCTAAAAAAAATAAGTGCATATAATAAAATCTAACATCCAAGATAGGCTATAGCTTATTATACTGTAGGCTACTAATGTACATTTCACAATAAGAATGCGTTTATTGTATAATTACATTTTAGAAAAATAAATGCTATCAATTAATATAGGCTATTTTACAATAGTCCTAAATGTTTCCAGTTATCATTCTTTTAACACCAGAAATAAGTTTAGATTTCCCCTCACTGCAATCTCTCCAAAATGTTAGTTGAGTCTTTTAGCTAGAACAACAACACTAATCCACACAGTTGTTTTCTGGTGTAATGCCTGTGTCCCCTTTAGAGTACATATATTTTATTTTGATGGCTGACTTCCTGGGCTGATGTAATGCTTTGACTGTTTTCAGCCAGGTCACATGATGCTTTTGTGCTGTGTCTTGGCACTGGCTTAATGCTATAGAATGGAACCGTTAGAAGGGGGAGGGGTAGGGGTGTTTTGTTTCAGGAGACTGTTAGGTATGCGGGATGAGGGGTGTGTTGAAATGCACTCTAATCGGAATGGAATGAAAAAAATAAGTGCCTCTTGAGCCTATAGCGCAGTAAAAATGTGGTGATTTGTCAAGTCACTGTGCAGACCATAGTGTGGGTCATCATTTGCATGATGTTTGTGTTTTAAAAAAAAGCATGCCCCTGGGCTTCTTTAAAGGAGGATTTCCCCATTTTGGCATGTGGAATAATTATTTAATTGATTAAGGATTGTTTATTTGCATTAATGCTTTTTAATTTATTCCAAATATTGAACACAAAGGCCCCCATTCAGGCTGTGCTCGAGTTTGAGATCGACTTCTGCCGTCAGTAAACTGATTGATCCTCAAATGATAATGAGCCACATTTCCAACCTGGCCCCTTTCAATCATGGCCACCTAATCATCCCCCTGATTCCCAATTGGCATATATCACTCCTCACCTCTGCACCATGATAGCTGATGTGTGGTGAGTGTTCTGGCCAAACAAATGGTTTCTGTGCATCACCCAAGTGGGTGCTACACATTGGTGGTGGAAGAGGTGAGTTTACTATGTAAGGGGGGGAAACACCTACTGTAGGTGGATAGGGAATGCAATCAATGATTTAGGATGCAAGGTGATTTGTAGATCAGTTAGTCTGGAGTCGCAAACTACAGTAGTCGATCTCAAAGACACAGAATGAGCTAAATTAATGCTCTCAGTCAAACACATCCCTTAACAAAGTGTATCCAATCAGTAACCACACAGGTGTGGCTGGAGCAGTTGTAGGGGTTAAAGGTCAAAAAACAGTCAGTGGCAAACCATTTACATTTTAGTCATTTAGCAGACGCTCTTATCCAGAGCGACTTACAGTTAGTGCATACATTATTTTTTTCATACTGGCCCCCCCGTGGGAAACGAACCCACAACCCTGGCTTTGCAAACGCCATGCTCTACCAACTGAGCTACATCCCTGCCGGCCATTCCCTCCCCTACCCTGGACAACGCTGGGCCAATTGTGCGCCGCCCCATGGGTCTCCCGGTCTCGGCCAGCTACAACAGAGCCTGGATTCGAACCAGGATCTCTAGTGGCACAGCTAGCACTGTGATGCAGTGCCTTAGACCATTTTTTTTTTACCACTGCGCCACTCGGGAGACTAACCATTTCCTGCGGTCCCCATGGTGTGTTTGGGGGACCACCATACTGGCTTGTAGAGCAGTGACCAACCTCCCCAAATCAACATGTAGGATTTGTCTGCAGTGATTCCTTTCAGCCTTGAGCCAATCAGAAAACAAATGATGTTAGTAAATGAGGGGTGAATCTAAATATCACCTTCTTTTCAAATTGTTTTCTTGTAGAAGTTCTGAGAGGAATCTGAGACCTCCTCCAATGCATTTTAACAAGGAGATGAGGAGAGAGGATAGGAGGAATCAAGAAAATAATTGAGATGCACCCATTCCCAAGATGTTGACTATAACCTGGGTTCCTATAGCGCCCCACAGTGGAGGTGTCATAATACCCATAAAACCTAGCTGTCAAACAGGGAAATGGTTCCAATAGTTTTTCCAGCATTAATTTTTCCCATAGGGGATTTTAGAAACACTTAAAATTAGGGCTGTGTTTCGTGTAGGCTTACCGTGGTGTGACATTTTGATGACCATGTAAATCTCTCTTGGACAAGGTGACTTTTGTTTGTTTTTGCTGTTCTCCAACTTATATTTTAGAGTTTTTTTAAATTGTGTAGAAGTACAGTAAATGAGCTTCAACTGGTGGGTGTATTTCTACACACCCCACTTTGCCATACCCTAGGTTTAGCTGAACTGACACCACTGTACCCCACCCAACCCCCATCTGCAAATAAAACCCCCACAAAAGGGCTTTATTACAGACAGAAATACTCCTCAGCACCAGATGGGGAGGTCCTGGGCTGGCGTGGTCCTGGGCTGGCAACAGCTCTGGTGGACACTCCTGCAGTCAGCATGCCAATTGCACACTCCCTCAAAACTTGAGACATCTGTGGTATTGTGTTGTGTGACAAAACGGCACATTTTACAGTGGCCTTTTATTGTCCGCAGGATAAATGCTCACTAACAGGTATGTCAACAAATTTGTCCTCAAAATTTGAGAGAAATAAGCTTTTTGTGTGTATGGAACATTTCTGGGAACTTTTATTTCAGCTCATGAAACATGGGACCAACACTTTACATGTTGCGTTTATATTTTTGTTCTGTATAAATCCCTTCAGTTACCAGTGCCCCACCAGATTATCCCATTACCTGGGATACGAACCAGCGACCCTCCGGTTGATGGCCCCGCTACCTGTTGAAGGTTGTTTCTTATCTAGACCTACGACGAATGATTAGATAGGTCGGTTTAAAGATAAATATTTCTGGTTAACGTTCACATTACATATTAAATAGTTCAGATGCCAGTCACCAAATAATACACTAACCTTCGAACCGGAAGCAATTTCGTGGAGTCATGGAAGTTTTGAAGCACTCGCTGTTGGATGCTCGCATGTAAACAGAACCTCTTGTTTTGTTGTTGTAAGACAATCAACAGGTCATGCATGCCTCTCGAAGGGGTACGAATTTGAAACATTAGTATTGCAGTAAATTATTGAGCAACATGTCTATGGAAGATCCGTTTTTCGTCGTCAAATGGTAAGTAGCTAAGGCTTAATCAGCCTGCCAGCTTCAACCGTGTAATGTTAGCTAGCTAGCTAGCTATCTTGTTTGCCATCAAGCCTGGCTTTAGCAAGGATGGCTAACGGTAGCTAGCTAACTAGTTTGGAACAAAGGGGATTTGTTGAAGCTATCCGTCTAGCAAATTGCATTCGTGATTGACAGCTGATTGTCACAATGATGAGAGGCATATGATAGAATTTTGTGTTTTTATGGCGTTTGTCTTAACGGGTTGGATATACAGCTAACATTGTAGCTATAGCTAGCATGTTTAGCAAACGGGTAGCTCGCTGTCGCAGTCTTGGGTTTCTTTACAACGTTTAATTTGTTAGCTAATGTATGATTTTTTTAAAGACAGACAGCTATGGCAAAGATTCTTCTTTACAGTTTGTGACTAGCTATATCAGTTGACGTATTAATGATATTGTATGTGTGGTTATGTTAATATGCCACTGTGACTGTAACGTTATGTCTTGCCGGCTACCTCTTTGTTATACACAGTATTGCATTTATATGTGCTATAACTAGATAGATAGCTAGATATATGTACTTTATTATTGTCTCTCTTAATCTCCAGTGAGGTCCAGAAGGCAGTGAACACTGCCCAAGGGCTGTACCAGAGATGGAGCGAGCTGCTACAGGATCCCAGTGGTACTTCCAAGGAGGAGGTGGACTGGACCACCAATGAGTTGAGAAACAGTCTGCGGTCCATCGAATGGGACCTGGAGGATCTCGATGAGACCATCAATATCCTTCCAACATAAAATGACCATTAGTTTAACTTGGTTTATCAAAACAAATACAGTACTTCCTCCAATTGTAGTTGATTTCAGTCTTCATAGAGAATAAAATATTTGTTCTACTCCACTTGATTGTCATGTCTTTGGTGCATGTTAGTGTTGAATAGGCTATTCCTTAACAGTGAATGCAAGTATTGTTGAATCAAACCCTAAGAAGTTCAATCTGGACGCAGTGGAGCTAACCAAACGGAAAGGCTTCATCACAAGCACTAGACAAACTGTTAAGGTGAGTCAGGCCCGAGGCACACAGGCTTGAATGGAATCCGGTTGAACTTGTAGTAACCATCACACAAAAATATGACCGCAAGCAGCAGTAACACTAACAAAAATAATAGGGTTCCTGCACCTTCTGTGCTAGGACCCCTAATTAGAGGTGTTGTGTTTTATAATAGCCATTATCAGCCAATGGCCAACGCATAGTGTATACCTTTATTATTACATTTACATTTTAGTAGACACTCTTATCCAGAGCGACTTACAGTTAGTGAGTGCATACATTATTTTATTTTTTTCATACTGGCCCCCCGTCGGAATCGAACCCACATCCCTGGCGTTGCAAACAGCAGGCTCTACCAACTGAGCTACATCCCTGCCGGCCATTCCCTCCCCTACCCTGGACGACGCTGGGCCAATTGTGCGCCGCCCCATGGGTCGCGGCCGGCTACGACAGAGCCTGGATTCGAACCAGGATCTCTAGTGGCACAACTAGCACTGCGATGCCACTCGCCATCTGTATTAATTTCACTGCTGTGTTTTGCTGTTTTCTATTTCAGGAAATGAAAGACCACATGTCCAGTCCAACGGCCTTAGCCATGTCAGACAAGAAAAACAGACAGGTGTGTAGCTCTGTATAACTATTGGACTAAGATCTTAATGAACTATTTGCATGTAATGGTGCAGTATGACGCAATGCACTTCTCAAATGTGTAGCAAATTTTAAAGCAGCAGGTTGCGTACTGGTTTGCCGGATCGTTGACACTGCAAACATCCTCAATTAGCATTGGTCAGAGAATAAGAGCTATTCGTATTGGCTGGATCCTTGCAAAGAAGACTCCTCCTCACCATTGACTCCTCCTCACCATTGCAGCGACCATACTTCAGCAGATCTCATATGTAATAATTTCTACTCCACTTCTCCACCAGGCTCTGTTAGGGGACAGTGGGTCTCAAGGCCCAATCTGGCAACCAGGACCTGACAAATACACCCGTCTGGACCAAGAGCTACGGACGGCCAACTCCTTGTTCATTGATGAGCAGCAAACTCAGCAGCAGGTATAGTTAATAGAAATGTGTCTCACTCATTCTTATGAGCTTGAGATCGACTATTGCTGATTTCTGTACTTACTATGTGCTGGATTTTACATTGTTTTGGCAAAGGAATCATTTTATTTATATTTTTCCTCATCAGTTGCTTTGTGTGAAATGAATACGGTGACATAAGTAATCGGCATTGACCTGTGTGTGTGTGTTTGTGTGCGTGTGTTTGCGTGCGTGTGTGTGTTTGCGTGTGTGTGTGTCAGCTTATGGCAGAGCAGCAGGATGAGCAGCTGGAGCTGGTGTCTGGGACCATCGGAGTGCTGAAGAACATGTCTGAGAGGATTGGTATGGAGCTGGACGAACAGACAGTGTACGTCCACAGCAACATTCATCAATAACATAATTACTAGGGTTTCAGGTCTGCACAGATAATCAGGTGCTGTATGTATCAAGCGTCTCCAACTAGGAGTGCTGATTTTAAAGATGGAATCCGCAGTAGGGGAAACGGCGTCACTGTCCGCCCCACTGCCATTGTTTTGTTTTTGTTTTATTGACAGCATGGGTGAGGCATGGGTGAGGAGCATTGCGCAACATGGGAAAAAACAGTGTTTGTCATTTGCAGTAACTAATATCGCAAACGGATGTGGCAGTTTCACCACTAAGGATTCCAGCTTTATGATCAGTTTTGACTTTTAGATTATAATGAATAATATTATATGCAGAGGGGCGACCTGATCCTAGATCAGCACTCCAACTCTGAGACGCTTTGTGGATACAGGTATATATCTTTCCTGGTATCTAGAATGCAGCGTCTCTTCTCTCTTGCAGGATGCTGGATGACTTCTCCAATGAGATGGAAGGTACCCACTCCAGACTAGACAACGTCATGAAGAAGCTGGCCAAGGTCTCCAACATGACCACCGGTGAGTAATACAACAGGCTCTTTATTCACCACCTTTCTACCTTGGGGAAGAATACACTTCAAAGTTCAGAAGCCATCTCCATTACCTCAAATTATCAAAGTCTGCAACTTACAGAGGTTACTGAGGTAGCAGTAAGGTATTATTGTAAATGTCTTTTGATGTTCTTTAATATGCCCAGGTCACTGATGTATGGATGGTCATTAAAGATGATATATGCTTTACTTGAGAGTGGAGGCTTCCTTTTGAAGGGAACGTCTGTGCCAGACGACCTGGAGTCATAACGGGTCACAGCTGGAGAGGAAGGAAAAGTACCCCCCACACCCCAACAAATGGTGGCACCTCCTTATAAGGAAACACCCTCAGGAAGCTTTCAACAGGAAGAACTCAGGAGACAGGGAGTCAAATGAAATCTGGTCCTTTTTTGTCCGGATATCCTGTCGGGACTTTCCCCCCCATCCCCTATACAATGTGCCTGCCGGTACTTTCCCCCGGCCCCTAGACAATGTGCTTAGGGTTTTATATTTGTACTATATTGTATTATATCAAGTTTTCTTTGCAACATGCCACTCAAATTGCAACTTTAAAAGATGATTGTTTCAGGTTGAAAGACATGGTAGCCTTCATAGAACATGAATTCCTTGTAATTTTATTTATTTGGACCTTTCATGCCTTAATATGTCTGAAATAATTGTCTTATTATTATTTTACATAAAAAAAAAAAAAAAGATAAATTGCTCCTCCCGTTGTTTGTTACAGTTTACCTTCCTCTCTCTCTCTCTCTCTCTCTCTCTCCCTTCTCTTGCAGACCGCCGACAGTGGTGTGCTATTGGCATTCTACTGGCCATTCTGCTTGTTGTCATCATACTCTTCTTGATCCTATGATGACCGGACCGTCCACCACCACAACACTCCCGTCTCCGTTTGACCATAAGGTGCTTGGGAAAACATCAAGGTTTCCATTGACATAGCCATTTTCCTATCTTACCCCTGACCCTCTTTTTACTACATACTGCTGAATATACAGCGACGCTTCTTTGGCTGCTGCAGTTTCCTCCCAAGCAACGTTCTCAATCATTATTCTATCACTCAACTTAAACCTTCCTTGGCATCTCAATGTAGGATTTGGCCCTATGTGAATACTAGGCCTCAAAATATTTTCCAGAAACCCGTTTGAGGTAAACCAGGTTGTAACCAGGGTCGTTGCATACTCCTTGTGACATTTAAGTGTTAATATTCAGAAAATAATGTATGAAGAAGACTCCACTCCGCTAATCTAATCGTTAGTGTTTTTATTTAAAGGGTGTTGTCTATCATTTCTCACTGGAAAAAACCCTACGGCTACCTAATGCACTGACGGCATAACAAGTTTATATGGATATATTAAACTGTATATATAATCATAGTTGAAACACAACACTGGAGTTCCCTAACAAGGAAAATTATATATATTGCTAAGCAGGTATACATATCGCTAACCACACTAAAATGGATCAACTTAATGTTTTTTCTTTTTTTTCTTAATCTATGTTCTTTCATTTTGTACTGTATGTATTTTTGGGGTATTGGCTTATACACAATCAACAGGTGTTTAACACTCACCTGCAAAATCAAGTCGCTGCCTGCAGTACTGAACAGAATGGAGCAAATCCATAGAGGTTTGTATCTGGAACAGGGCTCAAGCTTGAATTTATGTCTCTAATGTGAGCAGTCTTATCTTGTACGTAAAGTGGTATGATCTAGAAGTCCTTCGCCCACATGTCTATATGCTTGGTATCTTTCAGTCCGACAACATTTCACCATGAGGGCCCTTCTAAAGACTTCATGACATGCTTATGAACAGTTTGTGATGCCACCAGGCACTCCATAAATACTTGAAGACAGCATGTCAACAGACCTAAGGTTGTTTACGCTAATTGAGAGGCCTGACTTGTGTTAAGGTTTGTCAGTGTTATAGGAACCCTGTTGTAATAATGATGAGGGAAATCGGGATGACTGAGTCATGCCTGGGTCGTATTCATTAGGGCACACAGTAGAAAAATATTTTGCTACGGAAAAGTAATGTTTAATTTCAGTCAGCTTTCTTCCGTTTGGTGCTAAATGAATAAGGCCCAGGTAGTTGCGATAAGACTGAGAACAGAGAACTGTATAGTCGTCTGCTGATACTGTAGTAGGCTGATACTGTATGTTATGCTAGGGCTGGAAACGGTTCATTTTGATCTTGCTTCCCTGTTCCTCGCCCCTACCTGGGAAGTTCCAGGATAAGTCGAGGGTTGAATGAATCTGCTTTCACAGTGTGTTCCTATACAGTTCAAGGAGAATGATACTGTTATGATACTGTTATGGTGGAAACCTGGTAACAGAGTTTGATTTGAATAGGCCTCAACTCATTTGAGAACTTGATATGAACATAATACATTAATTGACTGTACTTTAGGTTGTACCAGCTCAATCCACGTAATGCAAATAATGCAATACACCAGAATGATAGGGGTAATGTGATGCACAGTGATGGTACTACTAAATGAAATATAACGGACACTAGTGATCAATTCTCAAGTCTGAGTTCTGAAAACACTCCACTATCTTTCAAAAAATATTGTGTGTCAATTGTTTTTATTTGTTTATTTATTATTTCATTATGATTAGTCAATACAAGTTTACTGTAATAGGAATACAGTATTGCATTTACAGTATATGATGTCATTAGAGGTAGAAAACATTTACTGACATCATTTCTTTCGTCGTTTACTTTTTATTTTTCAAATGTTCTCTTTAAGCGTCCACACATTTTTAGCAGTGTTATATCTGGTAGGAAGGGTGTGACTTGGTTGACAATATTGGCATTTATTTCAGATTATGGATATTTTGAAAGCATGACAATGACCCAGACAATGATGTACCATCTCAAAATCACGTGTGTCAGTCACCAAAAAATTGTGGAATTTGTAAACATTGCAAATAATTGTGATGCTGTGTTACGATACAAAGTACCCGTAGTATTAAATACTGTACTTAATGCACAACAAAGTCACTGGTGATAGGTGGATGAGACCTATTTGGTATATGTGATTAAATAATAAATAATACTAATGTTTGTGGAGAATGGGTACGGTCCATTACAATGTAGGTCATGATGAGTGTTTGTTTGGATGAAACAGAGTTCCCAGAGAGGAGGAGGCGAAGTGAGAGGTTTCACTTGCCGTAATCTGATTTAAACTTGTCGCCCGCTTTTGGGACAACGACTGCCATTTTTAGGGCAGAGACATAAGCATCTTGTCATCATATACAGATCTCTGGTGTTCCTCTTATTTGTTGTGTATTCATGTGTCTGGAGTGTATGAAAATGCTTTTTTACCCTTGAACCTTGACCTCATGTCATCTTATTATGGCTGTGCGTCTGTCCTGAAAATAAAATGGACAAGCAGGATGCTGCGAAGATTCACTATGTTTCAGCTCATTTCAATAACATATGAATGATGTGTTCAATTTGCCTGATTCTCTTGTGTTTTTAGAAGGGTCTATAGCTCTTGATGGAAACTGGTACTAGCCGCAGATCTAGGATCAGAATACCCTTCTCTGTTCCTAACCATGTAGAGGGATGATAAATTATCTGACCCAGCGTTATTGGTTATGGGCACCTTGTTCCTGCTCAGGGTTGTGATTCTTCCTGATTAATCAAATCCTAATTTCTAGATGTTCTAGTTGTCCTGATCACGAGCCTCGTCCATTTGGCTCCATGGAATTGTCCTGGGATATACAATGAGTGTACAAAACATGCTCTTTCCATGACATAGGCTGACCAAGTGAATCCAGGTGAAAGCTATGATCCCTTATTGATGTCACCTGTTATATGCACTTCAATCAGTGTACACGAAGGGGAGGAGACGGTTTAAAGACAGATTTTTAAGCCTTGAGACGTGGATTGTGTATTTGTGCCATTCGGAGGGTGAATGGGCAAGATAGAAGATTGAAGTGCCTTTGAACGGGATATGGTAGTAGGTGCCAGGCGCGTTTGAGTGTGTCAAGAACTGCAACTCTGCTGGGGTTTTCATGCTTAACGGGGTGCGACTCAATATTAGGAAGGTGTTCCTAATGTTTTGTACACTCATTGTATGTTGGGATGGTTCTAAGAGGAGAAGGGGAGCTAGGGTTAATGTCAGTGGGGCCAGCTGGGCGGGTGGTGGCAGTTTCAAACCTTATCTATTGATGCAGACAGCCAGAAGGGAGCAAAGCACTTCTTATTGAACATCACTGAGCAGTGGTTGAACCCAAACCACATGACAGGTGGCCCGCTCCTCTCATGTTTCTCCTCCCTCCCACGTTTTTCCTTTGTCCGGAGAGGAAATTGTTAGTCATCCACACCTGGGTACCCCACTCACACACAGCCCTTACCCCTGAATACAGCACTCAGTATCTGGAAAGACAATGGTTTACAGGAAGCCAGACAAGTATAACATAACGCTGACACTGTAAGTTTGTCCTCCTGACATTGTCTGATAGCAATGACAGTGTGATTTTTACACCACCAGATTGCAGCATGTACCACTAAGGGCAAAGAGCTTCCTAGGATCCAGGAAGAGATAGAGACTGCTATGAGGGGATGTTTGGAAGTCACTGATATGATGTGCAAATCTCCATATAAAAGAAGAGGGAAATTGCCGTGTGTGCGTATGCATTCATATGTGCCTGGCACAGGAGGTTGGTGGCACCTTAATTGGGGAGGACGGGCTCGTGGTAATGGCTGGAGCGGAATAAGTGGAATGATATCAAATACATCAAACGCATAGATCCAGGTGTTTGATGCCATTCCATATACTCCGTTCTAGCCATTATTATGAGCCGGCCTCCCCTCAGTAGACTCCTGTGGTGCCTGGCTGTGTGTACATGTTTGTGTGTGTGCAGGAGTACCCGGCTAGGGGGTTGGTGGTGTACTTGGTGGGGCGCAGGTGCATGGGGCAGGTTCCCAGCTCCCCTCTCTTGTTCCACAAAGGATGAATAGAGGGGCCAGCTAAGGACACGCCCCCATAGAGAGGAGAGGAAGGAGGAGGTTCACCCAGCCCCTCTAGACAGCTGGTGTCAGTAGCTTTGCAATGCATGGTGGGGGTGAAGTGTTTAGGGCTCAGACATTGTGAATATTGGCATACAAGAGAGGGACAGTGGAAGTGCTTCCTTCGCTGAGTTCTAAATGGACAATGAGTCACAAAAGTGTATCCATTAATCTATTTGATCTACTGTTCTCCACCAAATCGTCTGCTTAATACACTTCTATAGTTAAAGAGGTCTTGCAGGGTGTGTGTGTTGGTGGTGATGTACTAACCTTCATGTTATCAGGGGGATTTGGGGGGGGGGGGGTATTGATCACTCTTCCCCCGTCGGTCTCCCCTCCTCCCTTTCGCTAGACCACATGAGGCCCTGGCTAGCCTACTCTACACAACGGCCTCCTCTTCCCCAATTCATCCCTCTACACAACGGCCTCCTCTTCCCCAATTCATCCCTCTACATAACGGCCTCCTCTTCCCCAATTCATCCCTCTACACAACGGCCTCCTCTTCCCCAATTCATCCCTCTTTCACCTCTCTTTCTGACAGGCAAAGAGGCTATTGACTCAAGTGGTGAAAGATGACCCCATACAGCTGGTTGACATTGGTAGATACTGTGTAGATGCTTCTTGTTATTGAAAGTGAAACTGACATCATTTGCATTGAGGAGGACACAATTGGTTTGTGTATAATTTGAATAACGAAGAGGACAACATTGAATGAGAAGCGATTCCAATGCAAGGCATGAAAGAACGAGTAGTACACATTTTATTTGGACCATAGATATAAAATAAAAGTAACAAAATACATATATTGTGTGACAGTGAAAAGTCTGTTCTTTGTACACTTTAATACTGGTGAAGACGTCAAATGACTCCTCAAATGTCGATACTTTCAGTGCTTCCTATCGTCACAGTCACACACATGTAATGACCTCTAGTACCGTGTATTTACTGTTGAAATGTCCAAATAATTTACTATGCATTTTCCCAGTGGGTCTGTCTGACTTATCATCAACTTCTTTGATCTATTTTCTCATGGTTGTCTCTACAACCCAATGGTTTGACCTTATGGTTTTACAATGCCTTTCTTTAGACAATCAACCTGACACTTAGGCAGTTACTGCTTTGTGTACAATGCATTATTGTAATGACATTAACAAATCAGCAGCATTGGAAAGGACTTTGTACGTTGACAGACGAACCCCGAATTCAAAACCCAGACTCAACCAACCAGGAATAACCTAATAAATGACAGATGATTAGATAGCCTGTTCTCAGATCAGATGTGACAATGACCATAGGAGTTGGCAAGACAGCATAAACAGATCTGGGACCAGGCTAAGATAAGAGTCACCGTGAGTACCTTTCTGATCAATAGGGGAACTTAATCCTATTTGGGTACAGCACATTTATATGACAAAATGTCAACAAATATTGATTCTTCTTTTTTTGGCAAATGGACACAAGCAAAGAGGAGGATCCTTCGGTACAATCAAGATGGCATGGATATAGTGTTGTTGATCCATGTAGGCCGAGGAAAAACGTCAAACAAAATGGACGAGTTCGAGGCTATGGGTGTTTGGTTTTGTAGTGATGTTAGATAAGAACAGTCTAGGATAGAACACACACAAGAGTTCAAATAATTACTAACACAATGAACTGCTGTCATTTACAAGTTTGTTATCACTGACAATTGACAAAATGTAGTTGCGACACCTCATTCTTTGGAGTAAGTCTTACCTAGTTAACTTCCTGCAGTCAACAACACAAACATTGTTAAAGACAAGCTGGTTAAAGCACATCTTGACTGGTACCTGGGCTAGTTTCTAGTTCATTGTAGCTATTGCTGTAAACAGAACACACCATTGGAAGACCATGGAGAAAAGTGACCTATCCTTGATCAGACTTCACAACAACACATCGACTCCCTCAATACTTCTACTCTGTGCTGTCCAGAGTACACTACATGACTATGTGGACACCTGCTCGTCGAACATCTCATTTCAAGGGCATTAATATGGAGTTGGTCCCACCTTTGCTACTATAACAGCCTCCACTCTTCTGGGAAGGCTTTCCACTAGATGTTGGAACATTGCTGCGGGCACTTGCTTCCATTCAGCCACAAGAGCATTACTGAGGTCGGGCACTGATGTTAGGCGATTAGGCCTGGCTTGCAGTCGGCGTTCCAATTCATCCCAAAGGTGTTCGATGGGGTTAATGTCAGAGCTCTTTGCAAGCCAACAAGTTCTTCCACACTGATCTCGACAAACCATTTCTGTATGGACCTCGCTTTGTGCACGGGGGCATTGTCATGCTGAAACAGGAAAGGGACTTCCCCAAACTCTTGCTGCGAAGTTGGAAGCACAGAATCGTCTAGAATGTAATTGTATGCTGTAGCGTTAAGATTTCTCTTCACTGGAACTAAGGGGCCTAGCCCGAACCATGAAACACAGTCCCAGACCATTATTCCTCCTCCACCAAACGTTACAGTTGACACTATGCATTCGGGCAGGTAGTGTTCTCCTGGCATCCGCCAAACCCAGAATCGTCCGTCGGACTGCCAGATGGTGAAGCGTGATTCATCACTCCAGAGAACGCGTTTCCACTGCTCCAGAGTCCAATGGCGGTGAGCTTTACACCACTCCAGCTGACGCTTGGCATTGTGCATGGTGATCTTAGGCTTGTGTGCGGCTGCTCGGCCATGGAAACGCATTCCACAAAGCTCCCGACAAACAGTTAAAATCGGTTGTGAGAGTTACAACAGACGATTTTTACGCGCTTCAGCACTCAACAGTCCCGTTCTGTGAGCTTGTGTGGCCTACCACTTCGCGGCTGAGCCCTATATACTGTATACTTTTGTATACAGTATATAGGGTACTTCTTTATCCCCTTAGTGCTTCAGTTCATATCCAATACTATTTTTATGACTAGTCAAAGTCCAAAACTCTTATTTTTCAGTTAAGATGCTCTCCTATTGTTCCATTCACTCCATGAGGCTGGCTGAGCAAAATTAGTATATTGGACTCGAAGAGACTGCACAGTATCTTCTCTAACAACTGTTAGGCTTGCTTCAATCGTATCACTTTTGAGATGCTTCATGTCTCCTCTGTTTCTAACCCATACATTAATTATCTGAAATCCAGGTCTGGTTTCTGACTAAACCAATTACCACAATAAAAATAGGATTTAATTGCATAAAGATGACCTCAGTCAAGATGCATGGAATGGAGGAGATTCGTATGAGGTTTTTAACAGAGAATCTCCTACCAGACTGTATTGTTGCTGTGTGAGCTGCTGAAAGCTTTGTGCATTACCTGTAATGATAATATGTATTTTTGGCACTGCTGGTTATGTTTTCAACAGCTAAAGTAAGGAGCACCTAAGGCCAAAGAAAATACACTGCTCAAAAATATAAAGGGAACACTAAAATAACACGTCCTAGATCTGAATGAATGAAATAATCTTATTAAATACTTTTTCTTTACATAGTTGAATGTGCTGACAACAAAATCACACAAAAATTATCAATGGAAATCAAATTTATCAACCCATGGAGGTCTGGATTTGGAGTCACCCTCAAAATTAAAGTGGAAAACCACACTACAGGCTGATCCAACTTTGATGTAATGTCCATCAAAATGAGGCTCAGTAGTGTGTGTGTGGCCTCCACGTGCCTGTATGACCTCCCTACAACGCCTGGGCATGCTCCTGATGAGGTGGTGGATGGTCTCCTGAGGGATCTCCTCCCAGACCTGGACTAAAGCATCCGCCAACTCCTGGACAGTCTGTGGTGCAACGTGGCGTTGGTGGATGGAGCGAGACATGATGTCCCAGATGTGCTCAATTGGATTCAGGTCTGGGGAAAGGGCGGGCCAGTCCATAGCATCAATGCCTTCCTCTTGCAGGAACTGCTGACACACTCCAGCCACATGAGGTCTAGCATTGTCTTGCATTTGGAGGAACCCAGGGCCAACCGCACCAGCATATGGTCTCACAAGGGGTCTGAGGATCTCATCTCGGTACCTAATGGCAGTCAGGCTACCTCTGGCGAGCACATGGAGGGCTGTGCGGCCCCCCAAAGAAATGCCACCCCACACCATGACTGACCCACCGCCAAACCGGTCATGCTGGAGGATGTTGCAGGCAGCAGAACGTTCTCCACGGCGTCTCCAGACTGTGTCACGTCTGTCACATGTGCTCAGTGTGAACCTGCTTTCATCTATGAATAGCACAGGGCGCCAGTGGCGAATTTGCCAATCTTGGTGTTCTTTGGCAAATGCCAAACGTCCTGCACGGTGTTGGGCTGTAAGCACAACCCCCACCTGTGGACGTCGGGCCCTCATACCACCCTCATGGAGTCTGTTTCTGACCGTTTGAGCAGACACATGCACATTTGTGGCCTGCTGGAGGTCATTTTGCAGGGCTCTGGCAGTGCTCCTCCTGCTCCTCCTTGCACAAAAGCGGAGGTAGCAGTCCTGCTGCTGGGTTGTTGCCCTCCTACGGCCTCCTCCACGTCTCCTGATGTACTGGCCTGACACTGACAGACACAGCAAACCTTCTTGCCACAGCTCGCATTGATGTGCCATCCTGGATGAGCTGCACTACCTGAGCCACTTGTGTGGGTTGTAGACTCCGTCTCATGCTACCACTAGAGTGGAAGCACCGCCAGCATTCAAAAGTGACCAAAACATCAGCCAGGAAGCATAGGAACTGAGAAGTGGTCTGTGGTCACCACCTGCAAAACCAGTCCTTTATTGGGGATGTCTTGCTAATTGCGTATAATTTCCACCTGTTGTCTATTCCATTTGCACAACAGCATGTGAAATTTATTGTCAATCAGTGTTGCTTCCTAAGTGGACAGTTTGATTTCACAGAAGTGTGATTGACTTGGAGTTACATTGTGTTGTTTAAGTGTTCCCTTTATTTTTTTGAGCAGTGTATATTACAGGACATGAGGAAATATGAGACAGCTCCTGCTCTAATAGCAACTCCATCTGAACCGTATAGAAAAATGAGCCAATCGTGTCAAACATCTTGACGTGTCTTCAGAAGAATAACGCTACATTTCTGAGAGAAGACACTACTGTCAAAGCAAGCGGCCATAGACATATCCACATCCATTGAGCTGGTCACACACACTGTCCCTCTGTCATACCCCCAACACCCCAGGTTTCCATGGTGTTTGTGGTTTCTGTGGTGTCGATGGTTGCCATGGCGTCTGTGGTTGCATTACATTGCGGGTTTCCATGCCATTGCCGGTTGCCATGGCGCTACCATGGCATCACCACGGTGACCGGCGGTCCTCAGGTTGTCTAGCGACGAGGGGGAAGCCTCCTGTGTCGGAGCACGCGGACAGAGGCTATGTTCTCCTGGGTCATGAGGCGTGTCACCATGTCCAGACTGAGTCCGGCCACCTTCTCGCCGTTCACCTCCAGCAGCTCGTCTCCCACCCCCAGCAGCCCCGCGTACATCTTCTCTGTACTGCTGTCATCCATCTCCTCCACATACACACCTACAGGACAGACAGGATAACAGACAGGAGCATGTTACTGGTAGGGTTACACACACACACACTTATTTTTATAACACATATCTACAGGCAGAAGTATAGGAGCAGTATTATTACATCTTACTAATTACACACCAACACAGAATACAACACTAAACACACATCCAACAGCAGGACACGAGTGAAGTAAGTTAACGACAAAACACTCACACCTTGAGCACACAGAAGGGGGACATTCTAATGAACAGGACATCATTACATAACACTAGATTAGAAAGACAACCAAAACAGCAAGTCCCCAAATGGCCCCAGACGGCCCTGGGTTAGAGCAGGGTAGGCCATCTAGGGCCAACCCTAGGCTTTTGGCCCCGGTCTCAGTCATGGAAACAATATACTTTAGGCCAAGCACCAGTGTAAATGACTGCAGTGTAAAAGGCTCATTTTGTGTACCTGAGTCGGGTCGTCCTTTGCCCCGGGAGATGTGGAAACCGAAGGGTCCGTTGGGGGATCTGCTGAGCTCCAGCAGGAGGGTCCCGTCAGGGAAGGCTTGGGCCACCCTGCCTACCGAGCGCACCCCGCTGGGGTAGCCCACATTCTCCACACTCAGAACCCTCTGGAGGCCCCAACTAGAGAGAGACCGAACAGCGGCATTGAGGTGACACATTTCTACCCACAATGTAATGGCAACCACAGACGCCATGGCAACCATCGACACCACAGAAACCACAAACACCATGGAAACCTGGGGTGTTGGGGGTATGACAGAGGGACAGTGTGTGTGACCAGCTCAATGGCTGTGGATTTGTCTATGGCCGCTTGCTTTGACAGTAGTGTCTTCTCTCAGACAAAAATAAGGGGAAAAAATATGAATTATGTGCCACAAAATGCTAACATTGCAATCTTTGACAAAGGCTCAGATACAGGCATGTTTACAGGATACACACCGCAATCTGTGCTCCCAGGTGGTTTCCTGAACAAGGTTTTGACTCCCAGGTCTTTTTGCTGGTTCTTTTTACTGGAACTGGAACTCTGATCTTTGACACTGGTTGACTCCACGTTGTTTCCACTTCATTTCAATGAAATTACGTTGAACCAACGTGGAGTAGACGTTGAATTTACATCTTTGTCCAGTGGGGATATTTTGACCCATTTCTACATGACATGGATGTCGTTTAAGGCAGCCCCCCACCTCTCTGATTCAGAGGGGTTGGGTTAAATGCGGAAGACACATTTCAGTTGAATGCATTCAGTTGTACAACTGACTAGGTATCCCCCTTTCCTTTCCCTTTCATACCCATGGCAAACATGCAATTTAATTTGAGTAATAAGTCATGAAGGTGAATGGAGAGACATGGTGTGCTGCCTTGTGCCATTTCCAGTTTTATAATGTAAATAATGAAGTCATTGCATGGGGGAGGGAGATGGTCTGCTTCCTACATTAAGGTCTCTACGGCAGAACCCCCCCCCCCCCCCCCCCCCCAGAGAGCCATGTAGCGAGGTCCATATATGGCCCGGCTGTGTCATGTTCCTAGCCTATCAGGTTTCTGACTGCCTCTCGACGAAGGTGATGCAAGTGCAAGCCTGAAATGTCCTTCTCTGGTCTCTAGTGTGTCAGCTGCTGATACGCTCAGGTACAGACACACACATTGCATTGTTGGGTTTTGAGTTTGCAAGAAAGGCATTTCACTATACTTGTGCATGTGACATTAAAACTTGAAATACACTCACGTATAGACACACAAGCGCGCACTTGATGGACACGCACACTAATAAACAAACACACACTCACTAACACAGGCAGTGTCAACAACATCACCCAAACAGTCGATGTTCAGTTTCACCACTGCTCCAAGCCACCTTTCCAAATCCATCATATGATGTTGCGACAGTCTTTCTTCGGCAGCACCACCGCACTCAATCTATTTTTATCCGTCCACTCAGACCCAGTGAATGGAAACTATTCGGTTGCACAACACACACGGCGCCCATCCATGCATACCAGAGATTCCAGGCAGCCTTGAGCACATGCCAGCCTTGTAACCTCCTGTCAGGAAGGATCGATGTTGACTTCATTCATAATGTTTGGACATGAGGTGCCACTTTAGAGAAGATCAATGTGCAAGCTTTGCATTGTGACAGATTGGATGTTAGATTAACTGTTATTACTGCAACAGTTGCCTATTTTTATGTTGCTGATGTCATAGTTCTAATGTGTGTGTGTGCGCGTGTGTGAATGTCTGTTTATGTTATACCCAGTGGCGTATATTCATGGTGGCCAACGGAAGCCAGGCTTCCCCAAATATTTGACCAATAAATAAATAAACATAAAATAATTTATCTTTCGTCTCTTTCTGTGTTTTCATAATTTTCCATCAATTCGCAAGTGGCTGATTTCACCGGAGAAATCATCCAAGCGAGGGAAACAGCGCCCCGCTGTCTCAGTATCTATCTGATGCTGTCTGGACCAAAAGAGTTGCCGTGGTAGCATTTGATTGATTGATGCCAACAAGCATTTGGCCTCCCTTGATAATTTTTTAAATAAAATAATTAGCCAATCAGCTGAGCTCAACTATGGGTTGTCCTGGTGCAGTAAAATGCCCGCCAAGGGAGGCCAGTTTGGATTTGGCTTCAGGCCAATCAAATCATTTCCTTTGCAAAATGTCATTTTCTGAAAAATGTGTCTGTTTCTGTTGATGTCCTGCAGTAGCCAGCTTGCTAAATCGGCCCTTTGCTAAGCCATGGATGGAGAAGGCCTATGATTATGATGCAGATTCTGATCTAACTATAAATTAATATGTTGTGCCACTGGCCTGAGACGATTGAAGTTCAATATGTAGCATAGCTAAGTTAGCTGGTTCATTGTTGCCCATGCGAGGAAGTCAGGCTAGCAAACATTTTAGCTAGGTACCCTATGACAACAAAAACTAAAAGTGTACTGTATGACAGAGCCATAGATCATTTTGCCAACATGAAAGCGAGGAGGATGGCATTGGCTTTCAACTTGTCTAGGGTGAGTCAAAATTTTGAATTTTACTTGCACGCATGCACACAGAAATCAGTACCATGGACAGCCATATGATATTTAGTAACATTGATCGGACTCAATTGTTCTTGGTACAGTATCTTTAAGTTTGTTTTTAGTGTATTAAACTAAGCATATATAGCCTTGTTGATTTGGTGTTTAAGTTTAAATGGTGCTGGAATAGCAGAGGCAGTGCTAGTGTTGTCTTTGTGCTGACTTGCAATAACTCCGTGGTTCTAAATCAGTAGTTGGTTTAGTAAACTTTAGAAAACATTAACTTGCTTGACCATGCTGCAGGTGATATAACTGTTTGTATGCAATATTTGCTTTGTGGACTTCACTGGACAGATGTTGCTTTCCAGTTTTGTGATGAAACAAACGTATGTGTAGTTTTATTTATTCCGTCACTGTGTGACTGTTGTCTTTTTGTTGTTATGTCCTTATTGTATATCACGGTGGAGTATGAACTAATGGGTTATAGAGCAAAAACGCAATTATCACAACATAGGTTGTACATAATTTTGCTTTTTTACAGGCTTGGCTTCCTCAGTGATTTAAAACACGCACCGCTACTGGTTATACCTGAGAGCAGGGCTGCTGGGCTGGTCTCCAGGTGTGAATGGACTGGAGCGATCTCCCTTCTTCTTGGACGACTGTAAATTCTGGACTGATGACGATTTCCTCAGCTGCTTAAAAGGTGACCCCTGGTGGTGAGAAATGAACATGACAGCAGCCCTATGCGACCTTCCAAAATATTCCATTTGGATTCATTTTAAGACCGCGTTACTTTTTTAAAAAGGTATCCAGCAATACCTTGACAAAATATGCATTTTACAGTATAGTTATGTGGAAAATCATTTTAATTTCTATTTCTAGTACACAGTCACAACAATGTTCCAACTAACTGAGATCTCAGTATCCTTATAGTTTAAACAGTGTTTGACAGACATAAAGCGGAACCCTCTCAGACTACAAGCAAGACTACAATCGCTATAATTCCCTATAATTCAAAAGATAAGTTTGACATGTGACATGACAAAGGAATGTCTCCTCTCACCATGCGTAGGGACTGGAGCGACAGGGCTTTCCTCAGTTGGCTGGGTTCTGGGCGTGCAGGACTGGGGCTAGAGCTGGAGCTGGGTGTGGGGGTGGTGGAGGAAGGGCCAGGAAAGGCCGGGGGGACACCCCGGGGCTGGAAGCTAAGCTGCTCCATGCTACTGGAGCGCCCTTTACCCAGCTTCCTCACTCCATTCAGGCCAATGGCAGCGAATAAACGAAGCAGAGAAAGCTTGGACCTGCCCTCCTGCTGCTCTGTCTCTGTCCCTACCGTCCTGTGAGGGGAAGAGGGGGTAGGGGGGAGAGGGGTGAAGGAGGGAAAGAGGGAGAGAGATCAACAGAAAGACATTGAGAGATAGACAACAACATATAAACAAGTACAGACATCATGAGTCACATCTAACCTGGACTCAACTCCATTGTAAATTCTAGTTCTTAATTTGATTGGGAAAACCGTTAGAAATGGAAAGAATTGATCCAGGAAATTGAAATAATTACTTCACCTCAGATGTTTGCATTCATTCACGTATTAATATTTGGTCAGAAGAGGTCAGTGTTGAGTTAACACATTTACATTGACATTTTAGTCATTTAGCAGACACTCTTATCCAGAGCGACTTACAGTTAGTGAGTGCATACATTTTTCATACACAGAGGGCTAATATTAATAATATGCATGTCTATCTCTCCTGGCTCAAAGTGGACGAGAGATTGACTTCATCACTACTTGTATTTATGAGAGGTATTGACATGTTGAATGCACCGAGCTGTCTGGCGCACAGCTCGGTCACCCATGCATACCCCACCAGACATGCCACCAGAGGTCTCTTCACAGTCCCCAAGGCCTTGGCAGCAGCTAATGGGGATCCATAATAAATACAAATAAAAATGTAAGTATGTGTGGGTCTTGTTTACAAGTCTTATTGCTTGGGGGTAGAAGCAGTTCAGGGTCCTTTTGGTTCCAGACTTGGTGCGTTGGTACCACTTGCCACGCGGTAGCAGAGAGAACAGTCTGTGGCTTGGGTGGCTGGAGTCTTTGACAATTTTTTGGGCCTTCCTCTGACACCGCTTGGTATAGAGGTCCTGGATGGCAGGGAGCTGGGCCCCAGTGATGTACTGGGCTGTACGCGTTACCCTCTGTAGCGCCTTCCGGTCGGATGCCGAGCAGTTGCTATACCAAGCGGTGATGCAGCCAGTCAAGATGCTCTCGATGTTGCAGCTATAGAAGTTTTGGAGGATCTGATAGCCCATGCCAAATATTTTTAGCCTCCTGAGGTGGAAGGGGCATTGTCGTGCCCTCTTCACGACTGTGTTGGTGTGTTTGACAATGATAAATCCTTAGTGATGTGGACACCGAGGAACTTTAAGCTCTCGACACGCTCCATTACAGCCCTGTCGATGTGAATGGGGGCATGCTCGGCCCTCCGTTTCCTGTAATCCACGATCAGCTCCTTTGACTTACTGAGGGAGAGGTTGTTGTCCTGGCACCACTGCCAGTTCTCTGACCACCTCCCCATAGGCTGTCTCATCGTTGATCAGGCCTACCATTGTTGTGTCGTCGGCAAACTTAACGATCGTGTTGGAGTTGTGGGTGAACAGGGAGTACAGCACGCACACCTGAGGGGCCCCCGTGTTGAGGGTCAGTGTGGCAGATGTGTTGCTGCCTATTCTCACCACCTTTGGGGGCCCGTCAGGAAGTCCAGGATCCAGTTGCTGAGGGAGGTGTTCAGTCCCAGGGACATTAGTTTAGTGATGAGCTTCGAGGGCGCTATGATGTTGAACAATGAGCTGTAGTCAATGAACAGCATTCTCACATAGGTGTTCCTTTTGTCAGAGTGGGAAAGGGCAGTGTGAAGTGCAATAGAGATTGCGTCATCTGTGGATCTGTCGGACGGTATGCGAATTGGAGTGGGTCCAGGGTGTCTGGGATGATGCCGTTGATGTGAGCCATGACCAGCCTTTCAAAGCATTTCATGGCTACAGATGTGTGCCATGGCGATAGTCATTTAGACAGGTCACCTTGACGCTCTATGGTGGTCCGCTTGAAACATGTAGGTATTGCAGACTGGGTCAGGGAGAGATTGAAAATGTCAGTCCATGGCTTCTGGTTGGGATATATACATACGGTCACTGTGGGTACGACGTCGTCGATGCACTTATTAATGAAGTCGGTGACTGATGTGGTAAACTCCTCAATGCCATTGGATGAATCCTGGAACATATTCCAGTCTGTTCTAGAAAAACAGCCCTGTAGTTTAGCATCCGCTTCATCGGATCACTTCCGAATTGAGCGTGTCACTGCTACTTGCTGTTTGAGTTTTTACTTGTAAGCAGGATCAGGAGGATAGAGTTATGGTCAGATTTGCCAAATGAAGGGCGAGGGAGCGCTTTGTATGCTTCTCTGTGTGTGGAGTAAAGGTGGTCTAGAGTTGTTTCCCCTCTAGTTGCGCAGGTGACATGCTGGTAGAAAATAAGTAAAACGGATTTCAGTTTTCCTGCATTAAAATCACCGGCCACTGGATGAGCATTTTCTTGTTGGCTTATGGCCTTATATAGCTAGTTGAGTGTGGTCCTAGTGCCAACATCGGTTTGTGGTGATAAATAGCTATGAAAAATACTGTTAAATAGTATGCTCTACAGCTTATCATGAGGTATTCTAACTCAGGTGAGCAAAACCTCAAGACTTCCTTCATATTAGAGGTCGCGCACCAGCTGTTGTTAACAGTTAACAGTTCTGCCAAGTTGTTCTGCGGGAGTTAGTCGAGGGAGGCCCCGCTCTCTCGCTTCCCCAGATGTTTAGTTAATTTCATTCTGATCTCTTTTGCATTATTGTAGCCTTTTCTGTAGCCTGTCAACTATGTGTCTGTCTATCCCTGTTCTCTCCTCTCTGCACAGGCCATACAAACGCTTCATACCGCGTGGCTGCTACCACTCTAATCTGGTGGTCCCTGCGCGCACGACCCACGTGGAGTTCCAGGTCTCCGGCAGCCTCTGGAACTGCCATTCTGCGGCCAGCAAGGCAGAGTTCATCTCAGCCTATGCTACCCACCAGTCTCTCGACTTCTTGGCACTGACGGAAACATGGATTACCACAGAAAACACTGCTACTCCTACTGCTCTTTCCTCGTCTGATCATGTGTTCTCGCATACCCGAGAGCATCTGGTCAGCGCGGCGGTGGCACAGGAATTCTCATCTCTCCCAAGTGGACATTCTCTCTTTTCCCCCTGACCCATCTGTCTATCTCCTCATTTGAATTCCATGCTGTCACAGTCACTAGCCCATTCAAGCTTAACATCCTTGTAATTTATCGCCCTCCAGGTTCCCTTGGAGAGTTCATCAATGAGCTTGACGCCTTGATAAGTTCCTTTCCTGAGGATGGCTCACCCCTCACAGTTCTGGGTGACTTTAACCTGCCGACGTCTGCCTTCGACTAATTTCTTTCTGCCTCCTTCTTTCCACTCCTTTCCTCTTTTGACCTCACCCTCTCACCGTCCCCCCCACTCACAAGGCAGGCAATACGCTTGACCTCATCTTTACTAGATGCTGTTCTTCTACTAATCTCACTGCAACTCCCCTCCAAGTCTCTGACCACTACTTTGTATCCTTTTCTCTCTTGCTCTCCTCCAACACTACTCACTCTGCCCCTACTCAGATGGTAATGCGCCGTCGCAACCTTCGCTCTCTCTCTCCCGCTACTCTCTCCTCTTCCATCCTATCATCTCTTCCCTCTGCTAAATCCTTCTCCCTCCGGTCTCCTGATTCTGCCTCCTCGACCCTCCTCTCCTCCCTTTCTGCATCCTTTGACTCTCTATGTCCCCTATCCTCCCGGCCGGCTCGGTCCTCCCCTCCTGCTCCATGGCTTGACGACTCATTGCGAGCTCACAGAACAGGACTCCAGGCAGCCAAGCGGAAATGGAGGAAAACTAGACTCCCTGCTGACCTGTCATCTTTTCGCTCACTCCTCTCTACTTTTTCTTCCTCTGTTTCTGCTGCAAAGCCACTTTCTACCACTCTAAATTTCAAGCCTCTACCTCTAACCCTAGGAAGCTCTTTGCCACCTTCTCCTCCCTGCTGAATCCTCCTCCTCCTCCCCCTCCCTCCTCTCTCTCTGTGGATGACTTCGTCAACCATTTTGAAAAGAAGGTTGACGACATCCGATTCTCATTTATTAAGTCAAATGACACCGCTGGTCCTGCTCACACTGATCTACCCTATGCTTTGACTTCTTTCTCCCCTCTCTCTCCAGATGAAATCTTGCAACTTGTGATGGCCGGCCGCCCAACAACCTGCCCGCTTGACCCTATCCCCTCCTCTCTTCTCCAGAACATTTCCGGAGACCTTCTCCCTTACCTCACCTCGCTCATCAACTCATCCTTGATCGCTGGCTATGTCCCTTCCGTCTTCAAGAGGGCGAGAGTTGCACCCCTCCTCAAAAAACCTACACTCGATCCCTCCGATGTCAACAACTACAGACCAGTATCCCTTCTTTCTCTCCAAAACTCTTGAGCGTGCCGTCTCTAGCCAACTCTCCTGCTATCTCTCTCAGAATGACCTTCTTGATCCTAACCAGTCAGGTTTCAAGACTGATCATTCAACTCAGACTGCTCTTCTCTGTGTCACGGAGGCTCTCCACTCTGCCAAAGCTAACTCTCTCTCCTCTGCTCTTATCCTTCTAGACCTATCTGCTGCCTTTGATACTGTGAACCATCAGATCCTCCTCTCCACCCTCTCCGAGTTGGGCATCTCTGGCGCTGCTCACTCTTGGATTGCGTCCTACCTGACAGGTCGCTCCTACCAGGTGGCGTGGCGAGAATCTGTCTCCGCACCACATGCTCTCACCACTGGTGTCCCCCAGGGCTCAGTTCTAGGCCCTCTCCTATTCTCTCTATACACCAAGTCACTTGGCTCTGTCATATCCTCACATGGTCTCTCCTATCATTGCTACGCAGACGACACACAATTCATTTTCTCCTTTCCCTGATAACCAGGTGGCGAATCGCATCTCTGCATGTCTGACAGACATATCAGTGTGGATGTCGGATCACCACCTCAAGCTGAACCTCGGCAAGACGGAGCTTCTCTTCCTCCCGGGGAAGGACTGCCCGCTCCATGATCTCGCAATCACGGTTGACATCTCCATTGTGTCCTCCTCCCAGAGTGCAAAGAACCTTGGCATGACCCTGGACAACATGCAGGTTCATGCTCTATAACATTCACAGAGTACGACCCTACCTTACACAGAAAGCGGCACAGGTCCTAATCCAGGCACTTGTCATCTCCCGTCTGGATTACTGCAACTCGCTGTTGGCTGGGCTCCCTGCCCTGTAACTTATCCAGAACGCTGCAGTCCGTCTGGTGTTCACCTTTCCCAAGTTCTCTCACGTCACCCCGCTCCTCTGCACACTCCACTGGCTTCCAGTTGAAGCTCGCATCTACTTCAAAACCATGGTGCTTGCCTACGGAGCTGTGAGGGGAACGGCACCTCCTTACCTTCAGGCTCTGATCAGACCCTACACCCAAACGAGGGCACTACGTTCATTCACCTCTGGCCTGCTAGCCCCCCTACCTCTACGGAAGCACAGTTCCCGCTCATCCCAGTCAAAGCTATTCACTGCTCTGGCACCCCAATGGTGGAACAAGCTCTCCCACGACGCCAGGACAGCGGATTTACTGACCACCTTCCGGAGACACTTGAAACCCTACCTCTTTAAGAAATACCTGGAATAGTAGAATAGTAATCCTTCTACCCCCCTTTACTACCACTGTCTTTTGTCTAAACTAACACCAGACTTATTTCACCTGCTAGCACTGACTTGTTTAAAGAAATGTACTTATTGTGATCGAGATGTAGTTGCCCTGATTGCACTGACTTGGCTCACAGCTGCTTGTTTGAAGAAGTGTACTTACTGTGATCAAGATATGGTTGTCCCACTGGCTATCCTAAGTTGAATGCACCAATTTGTAAGTCGCTCTGGATAAGAGCGTCTGCTAAATGACTTAAATGTAAATGTAAATGTTAACAAAGACACACACCCCCCCGCCCTGGAGTTATAAAAATGTAATACGTGTAATGATAAGGCTTCGCTGTACAGTTGTTTCCGAGTGCCCTATAGAAAAAAGCAAGTAGATATTCGATAGAGTCATGATCACACCATTATTACAGCAAAAATGGCTTGCTTGTAGCCGCCCAACCAGGTCAAAAGATCTGATCCATAGGCTATTACCTGTGCAACATATCTTCCTACAGCGGATCGCCGGGAATGCATTTTACATTCATAAAATATGTTGTGGGCCGTTCAAATATTACTGACCATTTATTTACACTTTGTTTAGTCATGTTACCTCATTGGCTAGTTAGCTAACTGGTAACTTTACCATTATATCCTAACATTTGGGGGCACAGGCAGAAAGGAAAAGGGATAGCTTCTTCAGGAGATCAATGATCATAGCAATACATTAATTAATGAATGACAGATCTCTTGCATGTAATCACAAACCTGATGTTTTTAAAGAGACGGTGTACAATTTTCAATGTAATGCATCTCAATAGGAAAATAGTCTTTAGAATTAAGCATAAGAGTGTGGTGTAGGTAGCGAGTTACCAATACTCACTGAGCTGGACTAGGGCTATCCTCCCTCTGATGCTCTGCTCTCATTGGCCCCCTGACACGTCCGCCACCTCCAGAGTAGTATGGGGGAGGGGTTATGATGCTGGCTCCACCCAGACAGAGCTCTCCCATCAATGGATGATGCAGCTCCACTTCTAAAGGGGAGAGAGGGATGTTTACAAGGTGAAGAATCTGTAACTTTCATATTTTTTTAATGAAAAGCAGGAATGAGTAAGGAATGTTATAGGAATGTTATACAGACATTTTCATGTGGTATGAATATTGTTTGTGAGATGTGAATTTCTTCCTACAAGTCTAGGTCCAAAAGGATCCTTAACAGCTTCTGCCCCGAAGCCATAAGACTGCTGAACAGTTAATCAGATGGCTACCCAGACTATTTGCATTGAACCCCCTTTTTTACGCTGCTGCTACTCGCTGTTTATTATCTACAGTGAGGGAAAAAAGTATTTGATCCCCTGCTGATTTTGTACGTTTGCCCACTGACAAAGACATGATCAGTCTATAATTTTAATGGTAGGTTTATTTGAACAGTGAGAGACAGAATAACAACAAAAAAATCCAGAAAAAACACATATCAAAAATGTTATAAATTGATTTGCATTTAAATGAGGGAAATAAGTATTTGACCCCCTCTCAATCAGAAAGATTTCTGGCTCCCAGGTGTCTTTTATACAGGTAACGAGCTGAGATTAGGAGCACACTCTTAAAGGGAGTGCTCCTAATCTCATCTTGTTACCTGTATAAAAGGCACCTGTCCACAGAAGCAATCAATCAATCAGATTCCAAACTCTCCACCATGGCCAAGACCAAAGAGCTCTCCAAGGATGTCAGGGACAAGATTGTAGACCTACACAAGGCTGGAATGGGCTACAAGACCATCGCCAAGCAGCTTGGTGAGAAGGTGACAACAGTTGGTGCGATTATTCGCAAATGGAAGAAACACAAAAGAACTGTCAATCTCTCTCGGCCTGGGGCTCCATGCAAGATCTCACCTCGTGGAGTTGCAATGATCATGAGAACGGTGAGGAATCAGCCCAGAACTACATGGAAGGATCTTGTCAATGATCTCAAGGCAGCTGGGACCATAGTCACCAAGAAAACAATTGGTAACACACTACGCCGTGAAGGACTGAAATCCTGCAGCGCCCGCAAGGTCCCCCTGCTCAAGAAAGCACATATACAGGCCCGTCTGAAGTTTGCCAATGAACATCTGAATGATTCAGAGGAGAACTGGGTGAAAGTGTTGTGGTCAGATGAGACCAAAATCGAGCTCTTTGGCATCAACTCAACTCACCGTGTTTGGAGGAGGAATGCTGCCTATGACCCCAAGTACACCATCCCCACCGTCAAACATGGAGGTGGAAACATTATGCTTTGGGGGTGTTTTTCTGCTAAGGGGACAGGACAACTTCACCGCATCAAAGGGACGATGGACGGGGCCATGTACCGTCAAATCTTGGGTGAGAACCTCCTTCCCTCAGCCAGGGCATTGAAAATGGGTCGTGGATGGGTATTCCAGCATGACAATGACCCAAAACACACGGCCAAGGCAACAAAGGAGTGGTTCAAGAAGAAGTATATTAAGGTCCTGGAGTGGCCTAGCCAGTCTCCAGACCTTAATCCCATAGAAAATCTGTGGAGGGAGCTGAAGGTTTGAGTTGCCAAACGTCAGCCTCGAAACCTTAATGTCTTGGAGAAGATCTGCAAAGAGGAGTGGGACAAAATCCCTCCTGAGATGTGTGCAAACCTGGTGGCCAACTACAAGAAACGTCTGACCTCTGTGATTGCCAACAAGGGTTTTGCCACCAAGTACTAAGTCATGTTTTGCAGAGGGGTAAAATACTTATTTCCCTCATTAAAATGCAAAAATCAATTTATAACATTTTTGACATGCGTTTTTCTGGATTTTGTTGTTATTCTGTCTCTCACTGTTCAAATAAACCTACCATTAAAATTATAGACTGATCATGTCTTTGTCAGTGGGCAAACGTACAAAATCAGCAGGGGATCAAATACTTTTTTCCCTCACTGTATGCATAGTAACTTTACTCCTACCTAGATGCACATACAGTGCATTTGGAAAGTATTCAGACCCCTTGACTTTTTCCACATTTTGTTACGTTAGTCATTCAAAAATGGGTTAAATAAAACATTTTCCTCATCAATCTACACACAATACCCCATAATGACAAAGCGAAAACAGGTTTTTCAAATTATTAGCAAATTTATTTAAAAAATGAAAACAGAAATACCTTATTTACATAAGTATTCAGACCTTTTGCTATGAGACTCAAAATTGTGCTCAGGTGCATCCTGTTTCCATTGATCATCCTTGAGATGTTTCTACAACTTGATTGGAGTCCACCTGTGGTAAATTCAGTTAATTGGACATGATTTGGAAAGGCACATACCTGTCTATATAAGGTCCCACAGTTGACAATGCATGTCAGAGCAAAAACCAAGCCATGAGGTCAAAGGAATTGTCCGTAGAGCTCAGAGACAGGATTGTGTCGAGGCACAGATCTTTGGAAGGGTACCAAAAAATGTCTGCAGCATTGAAGTTCCCCAAGAACACAGTGGGCTCCATCATTCTTAAATGGAAGAATTTTCGAACCACAAAGACTCTTCCTAGAGCTGGCCGCCTGGCCAAACTGAGCAATCGGGGGAGAAGGGCCTTGGTCAGGGAGGTGACCAAGAACCCGATGGTCAGTCTGACAGAGCTCCAGAGTTCCTCTGTGGAGATGGGAGAACCTTTCAGAAGGACAACCATCTCTGCAGCACTCCACCAATCAGGCCTTTATGGTAGAGTGGCCAGACGGAACCCACTCCTCAGTAAAAGGCACATGACAGCCTGCTTGGAGTTTGCCAAAAGGCACCTAAAGGACTCTCAGACCATGAGAAACAAGATTCTCTGGTCTGATGAAACCAAGATTGAAGTCTTTGGCCTGAATGCCAAGTGTCACGTCTGGAGGAAACCTTGCACCATCCCTACGGTGAAGCATGGTGGTGGCAGCATCATGCTGTGGGGATGTTTTTCAGCAGTAGGGACTAGGAGACTAGTCAGGATCAAGGGAAAGATGAACGGAGCAAAGTACAGAGAGATCCTTGACGTAAACCTGCTTCAGAGCACTCAGGACCTCAGACTGGGGCGAAGGTTCACCTTCCAACAGGACAACGACCCTAAGCACACAGCCAAGACAACACAGGAGTGGCTTCGGGACAATTCTCTGAATGTCCTTGAGTAGCCCAGCCAGATCCCGGACTTGAACCTGATCAAACATCTCTGGAGAGACCTGAAAATAGCTGTGCACGCCGCTCCCCATCCAACCTGACAGAGCTTGAGAGGATCTGCAGAGAAGAATGGGAGAAACTCCCCAAATACAGGTGTACCAAGCTTGTAGCGTCATACCCAAGAAGACTCGAGGCTGTAATCGCTGCCAAAGGTGCTTCAACAAAGTACAGAGTAAAGGGTCTGAATACTTATGCAAATGTAATATTTCAGTTTTTTTATTTCTAATCAATTTTCCATTTCTAAGAAAACTGTTTTTTGCTTTGTCATTATGGGGTATTGTGTGTAGATTGATAAAAAATTTAAGAATAATACATTTTAGATTATGCTGTAACGTAACAAAATGTGGAAAAAGTCAAAGGGTCTGAATACTTTCCGAATGCATGCACTTACCTCAATTACCTTGACTAACCTGTACCCCTGCACATTGACTCGGAACCGGTACCTCCTGTACATAGCCTCGTTATTTTTATTTTATTGTGTTACTTTTTTTATATACACTACCAGTCAGAATTTTTTGAACTTCTACCTTGTATAATAATAGTGAAGACATCAAAACTATGAAATAACACATATGGAATCATGTAGTAACCAAAAGGTGTTAAACAAATATTTATATATTTGAGATTCTTTAAATTGCCACTCTTTGCATTGATGACAGCTTTGCACACTCTTGGCATTCTCTCAACCAGCTTCACCTGGAATGCTTTTCCAACAGTCTTGAAGGAGTTCCCACATATGCTGAGCACTTGTTGGCTGCTTTTCCTTCACTCTGCGGTCCGACTCATCCCAAACCATCTCTTTGGTTGAGGTCGGGGGATTGTGGAGGCCAGGTCATCTGAAGCAGCACTCCATCACTCTCCTTCTTGGTAAAATAGCCCTTACACAGCCTGGAGGTGTGTTGGGTCATTGTCCTGTTGAAAAACAAATTATAGTGCCACTAAGCCCAAACCTGATGGGATGGCGTATCGCTGCAGAATGCTGTTGTAGCCATGCTGGTTAAGTGTGCCTTGAATTCAAAATCAATCACAGTGTCACCAGCAAAGCACCCCCACACCATAACACCTCCTCCTCCATGCTTTATGGTGGGAGCTACACATGCGGAGATCATCCGTTCACCCACACTGCGTCTCACAAAGACACGGCAGTTGGAATCAAAAATCTCCAATTTGGACTCCAGACCAAAGGACACATTTCCACCGGTCTAATGTCCATTGTTCGTGTTTCTTGGCCCAAGTAGGTCTCTTCTTATTATTGGTATCCTTTAGTAGTGGTTTCTTTGCAGCAATTCGACCATGAAGGCATGATTCACAGTCTCCTTTGAACAGTTGATGTAGAGATGTGTCTGTTATTTGAACTCTTTGAAGCATTTATTTGGGCTGCAATTTCTGAGGCTGGTAACTCTAATGAACTTATCCTCTGCAGCAGAGGTAACTGGGTCTTCCATTTCTGTGGTGGTCCTCATGAGAGCCAGTTTCATCATAGCGCTTGATGGTTTTTGCGACTGCACTTGAAGAAACTTTCAAAGTTCTTGACATTTTCCGTATTGACTGACCTTCATGTCTTAAAATAATGATGGACTGTCGTTTCTCTTTGCTTATTTGAGCTGTTCTTGCCATAATGTGGACTTGGTCTTTTACCAAATAGGGCTATCTTCTGTATACCCCCCTACCTTGTCACAACACAACTGATTGTCTCAAACGCATTAAGAAGGAAAGAAATTCCACAAATGAACTTTTAAGAAGGCACACCTGTTAATTGAAATGCATTCCAGGTGACTACCTCATGAAGCTGGTTGAGAGAATGCCAAGAGTGTGCAAAGCTGTCATCAAGGGTGGCTATTTGAAGAATCTCAAATATAAAATAAATGTTGATGTGTTTAACACTTTTTGGGTTACTACATGATTCCATGTGTTATTTCATAGTTTTGATGTCTTCACTATTATTCTACAATGTAGAAAATAGTAAAAATAAAGAAAAACCGTTGAATGAGTAGGTGTTCTAAAACTTTTGACCGGTAGTGCATATATATTTTTACGTTAGTTTATTTAGTAAATATTTTCCTAACTCTTAATTTTCTTAAAACTGCATTGTTGGTTAAGGGCTTGTAAGTAAGCATTTAACGGTAAGGTCTACCTGTTGTATTTGGAGCATATGACAAATAAAATTTGATTTGATTTGAATAAATCCACTGGATTTACATTCACCTCCTTTGCTCTCAACAAGGCATTTACCATCACCACCCATTGATATGCAGATTATGCTGTCACCTTGGCCCTCTGCCATTCAGATGAGCTGTGAAGAGCAGCAACACAATGTCTTTTTCTCACCAATCCACTGTCCCACAGCACACAAATTAGTGTGTTTGTGCGCGCAAGTGTGTATTTTAAGCTGACCTGGTGCCTGTGGCGCAGGGTGCACCGACTTCTCTTCTGCTTTCTTCGCTGGTGATGGGGAGGTCTTCAGCAGGGAGACAGGCCTGATACAGGGCATTATCGTGCCAGTGCTGGAAGTCAGCCCCAAAGACAGACCATCCTCCTTGAAGTTCCCCCCAACAGAGTGCTCGTTCTGGGGGCTGGGTGCGGCCCCTCTCCCCTGGTCTTCCAGGGAGTCCTGGGACAAAAGGCGGTACTGTGGTGAAGACATGAGTTTGACCGATCGCTGGCCATTGGGCCGACTCTTGGGTCCTGTTTTCAGAGCTGATTTGATGGGCAGTGGGGAAGGGGGAAAGTGGGTGCCCTTGAGGCACAGGGGACTGTTTGTGGGTTCTTCTGGGGGAGCGGGAGAGTGAGTGTGCAAACCCACCACCATTGACACAGGTTTCTCAATGGCGTAAGGATTGGGCGGCACCACCACAATACCATTAGTTGAGCTCACTGGTGCCAAACTGTGATTGGACCTTAGTGGTGGTGGTGTTGGTGGCACCGTGATGGGTGCTCCATGCCCATTGGTGCCCAGAATCTCCCCTCTCCTACTCCTCCTCTTCACCTTCATCGTCGACACCCGAACACTCCCACCTCCTCTGCTGCTGTCTGTCTCTCCCGCCGAGCCACGCCCTGTCCCGTCGCTATCCGCCACATCGCGGAGGGTTACCTTCCCAATGTACGTCTCCTTGATCAGCTCGGTAAGAACTGTCTGGCTGGGCTCACTGGGAGCCACCGAGCAAGACATCAGCACCTTCCCCTCCCCTTCTTCATTCACTGGGCCGTTCTGCCCTTTCGGGGGTGATGGGTTCAGATGGAGGTTCAGATTCGGGACCCCGCCTTCCAGGAACGTCCCGCACGAGTTGCACTGCCTGTTGAGCGCCTCCTGTGCTGCCACGGCTTTAAAATGGCCCCCACTGCCACCGTTTACGTAGCCATCCTGTGTCCTGCAAGCCTTCTTGTGCCATAAGAAGCTGCCTTCGAGGCAGCGCCCTGGATCAGTGTCCCTCCGCCCGTTGACATAGGAAGAGAGGTTGGGCTTGGATATGAGCAGACCCTGGGCCCTCCTCCTCTGACGGAGCCTCTCCAAGTAGCGCACCTCCGCATCTTTCTCTGATTCGTCCTCGAAGCGGACCCGTGTCGGCGATTGGCCGGGGCGCCGGCGGGGGCCGCAGGCCGAGTCGCTGCTGGAGGAGTCACTGAGGTTTCCTGACAATGAGGTAACCGCGGCAACTATCGCCGATGACACCGACACACTTCCCTTCCCCGCCAGAGGAGCCCGGTGAAAGGGAGCACCAGCCGTGGACAGCTGCTCCCTGTAGATGGAGACACACACACACAGAAATACAGAAACCCCATAAAGAAACAGCCAGCATTTTTCCTCCTAACACAGAGGATTGTTTACATGGCTGTGGGATTCTTCTCCGTGTTCTGGCACATGTGTATCCCAGGTGGGAACATCCCACCTTGGTCAGAGTGAATATGCTGAGGTAATCAGTAATCACTGCTCCAGGACCACAGATGATATTAGGATTAAGATTGGGGAGGTGTGGTAGTTGTATAATGCCAGCTGGATTGCGTATGTTGGAAATAGCCAGAGAGAGAGAGCACCTGACGTAGCAACCAAGATAACCAAATGGGCCATCATGTATAGGCCAATGCTTTACATTAAGTTAACTAATGACTACATGTTGCTACAACTATGTACTCAGCTGTACATGGACACTGCAGATAAGATACATTAGATACATATTGTATAGTTATTGTGGAGTTACTAGTTAGTTCAATGTAAATACCAGCATGTCACATTATTACATACTGTAGTATCTGTGTAACACACTTTAAAGCACAGCTGTCAAACTCATTCCACGGAGGGCCAAGTGTCTGCAGGTTTTTGCTCCTCCCTTATACTTGATTGATGAATTAAGGTCTCTAATTAGTATGGAACTCCCCCCACCTGTTTGTCTAGGGCTTAATTGAAAGGAAAAAACAAAAAACCTTCAGACACTCTGCCCTCCATGGAATGAGTTTGACACACCTGCTTTAAAGTGTGACCCATAATAGATATCTGCGACATACCAGGCATTTAAAAACTACTAAAGGGCACTATAAACAGAACACACATGAACAACTATACAATATACAAGCAGTAAATCAAATATATATCATAGCATTACAGTGAAACAAGCACGACAAGAGAGCACCGCCTGTTGCAGCTATCTACACTGGACACTGTCAGTAAACAGAAAAGAGAGAGCTGCAGAACATTTTAACCAGCCAAACACAATACAGCCCTTCCGGACTGTCCAGCACAAAAGCCTACAGAGATTTACAGGCCCTGCAGGGCCCCACGAACCAGAAGGGAGAAAAGGGACTGAAAAGAGGAGGGGAAAACGGGTTTCTCGTTTGGTTGGTTATGGTGCTACAGGTGTCTGCTACAGATAAGCTCAGTAGGTAAACACACACACGACTCTTCAATCCCCCCCCCACACACACGACTCTCCAACCCTCCCTCCCACACACACACACACACACACACAGACACACACTTGCGGAGCAGTACTTACGGGTTGTCCCTCTGCATGGGTAGGATAGTGTGGTCGGCCTTGAGTGGGTAGGACCGGGCCTTCATGCGGGTGCTCTCCAGGAGCCGCTTGGCCTGCTCATGGCGCTGACTGAGCGGCAGGTCCTCACTGGACACAAAGGCCCTGTTGGCCTCACAGACCGTCACACACACACACACACACACACAGGCAGAGGGGGTGGGGGGAGGGGGAGAGGTACACGTCAGTGCCTGTGTGGGAGAGGCACTCAGAGTGGGGGATTAGGCTGAGCAGGCCGTTACTACTAATTAGGCTGAGTGTGTGTGTGCGAATGAGATTTGGAGTGTGTGTGTTTCAATTTGCTTTTAGTGTGTATGTGTGTATATGTGTGTTTTCATGAGCTTTCATCCTGTTTGCCAGTGCTTGTGTTTATGTGTGTGTATTTGTGAATGTGTGAATGAGTATATTTTACTAAGAAGAAGTCCCTTTGCTAGGATACGTCTCTGTGAATGGGCATTACAGACGTGAACATTTTACAAACACAGTTACCCACAGTGCTCAGGGCTTTAACGACTAACCACACATAGCTGCCCATTCAGTTCCACCATGACATCTGCTTAACAGGCACTCAATGGGGGAACAAATGAGTGTGTTTCTACTTTCTACTACAAGCTGTTGTACCGAGATTTCCTCCTCTTATGTTGAGACTGACTCAGACGAGTGAGTGACATGACAGAGAAATGAGCGATATAACCGTAATCCTCTCTGATGATGACAGTGGGACTTTTAGTAACAGCTGTTTTAAACACTGCGTCCCTGTCACTCTTTGCAGCTTGGGGCTCTAACACGGAAAGATACAAGAGCAAAGCAGTAGAGTCATAGGTGTTGGTAGTGTCATAGGTGTTGGTAGTGTCGTTAAAGCTATGTAGATGTATCAGGAGGAAAATATTTAGGTTGGGACTCAACAAAAAAACAACTCAACATACATCATTGAGTTGGTAAAGATCAGAGGATGTATGTTTTACAGTCAGGAAATGTTAGTACTCAAGTCAGAGTTTATTTTAAGTGCATTTCACATGGGTCACAAGTACACACTTTACATCATTAAAAGGGAATAAATTAATGTAGGAAAATGAGGAATATGGAGCACTGACTGTGTTGATGGCCAGTACTGACAGTTCGTCTCTTAGAGCAACAGAAGACCCAGGTGACTCAAACTGGAAATAAGATTATGATACATCCGTATGTGGTCAACCCTCTGCTGGCCCCTGGAGAGCTCCTGGGTGCGCAGGTTTTGCTCCAGTCCTAATCTAACACGAAAATCATGTGTTTTAGAGCAGGGCTAGAGCAAAATCCTGCATTCCTGGAAGCTATACTGTCACGATCGTCATGAACAGCGGACCAAGGCGCAGCGTGATAAGCGTACATTCTTTTAATGAGTACACACACGAACAAAACAATAAACGATACGTGAAGTCCTAGGGTTAAACACAAACCTTACGGATCAAGATCCCACAATAAACTAGTGCCAACCGGCTGCCTAAGTATGGTTCCGAATCAGAGACAACGAGAATCAGCTGCCTCTGATTGGGAACCACCCTGGCCAACATAGAAAACACGAACTAGAACGAAACATAGAAAATAACACATAGAAAATCCACACCCTGGCTCAACATATAAGAGTCCCCAGAGCCAGGGCGTGACAGTACCCCCCCGCCAAAGGCGCGGACAGCGACCGCGCCAACCAAACCCAACAGGGGAGGGGCCGGGTGGGCATTCCGCCTCGGAGGCGGATCTGGCTCCGGGCGTGACCACCACTCTCTCGCTACCCCCCCGTAGCGCCCCTGGTCTGGTCTGGCCCCGTTGGCCGGAGCTGGACTGGACACCGGTGGAGCGGATTGCTCAGGCTCCGGTGTGGAGCAGCTGACCGGTGCCTGACCAGGCACCGGTGGAACAGGCACGGGCTGTGCCGGACTGACGACGCGCACCACTGGCTTGGTGCGGGGAGCAGGAACAGGCCGGACCGGGCTGGCGACGCGCACCACAGGCTTGGTGCGAGGGGCAGGAACAGGCCGGGCCGGGCTGGCGACGCGCACCACAGGCTTGGTGCGAGGGACAGGAACAGGCCGGACCGGGCTGGCGACGCGCACCACAGGCTTGGTGCGGGGAGCAGGAACAGGCCGGACCGGGCTGGCGACGCGCACCACAGGCTTGGTGCGGGGAGCAGGAATAGGCCGGACCGGGCTGGCGACGCGCACCACAGGCTTGGTGCGAGGGACAGGAACAGGCCGGACCGTACTGGGAACACACACCACTGGCCTTGTGCGGGGATCAGGAACGGGCCGGACCGGACTGGTAACACACCCCAGTACCTCTCGCCGTGCCTCTACACTCTCCTTCCCCCTCATGACCAATGGCCCCCGTAACCTGGTGGCCTCCTCTCCTAGTCCACAAACTCACCCTGTAGCTGCCTCCAGCAGCCCCGTCGTCCATGCCGTGTGCCCCCCTCAAAAAATTACTTGGGGTTGCCTCTCGCCTGTCCGACGACGGCCCGGTTGGCGCCGCTTCTCCTCTCCTGCCTGGGCATCCTCCCTCATCGCCCTCCGGTAGCGGACGGCCTCCTCCTCCGTGATCTTCCCCCAACCGAGGAGGACATCCACTAGAGTAACCTCCTGTTCCTTACCCGGCGTTAGTTCCTGAACACGCTGCTTGGTCCTGTTTTGGTGGGATCTTCTGTCACGATCATCATAAACAGCGGACCAAGGCGCAGCGTGATAAGCGTACATTCTTTTAATGAGTACACACACGAACAAAACAATAAACGATACGTGAAGTCCTAGGGTTAAACACAAACCTTACGGATCAAGATCCCACAAAACAAAAGTGCCAACAGGCTGCCTAAGTATGGTTCCCAATCAGAGACAACGAGAATCAGCTGCCTCTGATTGGGAACCACCCTGGCCAACATAGAAAACACGAACTAGAACGAAACATAGAAAATAACACATAGAAAATCCACACCCTGGCTCAACATATAAGAGTCCCCAGAGCCAGGGCGTGACATATACAGGAGGTTCTATTGTACCTTTGGCTGTGCTCGCTGTCTTGGAGGGAGATGCCTGAGTCCCAGTCAATGTCATTCAGGGTAATGAAATCTGTGGAGAGAGATGAAAACTGTAGCTAAGCAGGTTGAAGTAGAATTTCTCTCCAATATTGAAATGCGTCCGTCTCTGTTTCTCGAGAAACTACAACACAAAAAGCACAAATCAAATCCGATTTTATTGGTCGCATACACATGTTTAGCAAATGTTATTGCGGGTGTAGCGAAGTGCTTGTGTTCCTAGCTCCAACAGTGCAGTAATATCTAACAATACACACAAATCTAAAAGTAAAATAATGGAATTAAGAAATATTTGGACATTATATATTTATACTCCGGACTCCGACATTGCTTGTCTAAATATTTCTTAATTCCATTATTTTACTTTTAGATTTGTGTGTGTGCTCCCTCTGCTGTCTCCTGAAGTCCCCTATTGTTTTGTTGACGTTGAGAGAGAGGTAATTTTCCTGGCACCACTCTGCCAGGGCCCTCACCTCCCCCTTGTTGGCTGTCTCGTCGTTGTTGGTAATCAGGCCTATCACTGTTGTGTCGTCTGCAAACTTGATGATTGAGTTGGAGGCGTGTGTGGCCATGCAGTCATGGTTAAACAGGGAGTACAGGAGGGGACTGAGCACGCACCCTTGTGGGGCCCCTGTGTTGAGGATCAGCGTAGTGGAGGTGTTTGCTTACCTTCACCACCTGGGGGTGGCACGTCAGGAAGTCCTGAGCTGTAGTCAATGAACAGCATTCTTACATAGGTATTCCTCTTGTCCAGATGGGATAGGGCAGTGTGCAGTGTGATGGCAAATGCATCCTCCGTGGATCTATTGGGGCGGTATGCAAATTGCAGTGGGTCTAGGGTGTCGGGTAAGGTGGAGGTGATATGATCCTTAAATAGCCTCTCAAAGCACTTCATGATAACAGAAGTGAGTTCTATGGGGCGATAGTCATTTAGTTCAGTTACCTTCACTTTCTTAGGTACAGGAACAATGGTGGACATCTTGAAGCAAGTGGGGACAGCAGACTGGGATAGGGAGAGATTGAATATGTCCGTAAACACTCCAGGCAGCTGGTCTGCGCATGCTCTGAGGACGCGGCTAGGGATGCCATCTGGGCCGGCAGCCTTGCGAGGGTTAACATGCTTAAACATCTTCCTCACTTTGGCCACGGAGAACGAGAGCTCACAGTTCTTAGGAGCGGGCCGCGTCAGTGGAGAAGAAGGTGTTTAGCTTGTCTGGGAGCAAGACGTCAGTGTTTCCGCGACGTTGCTGGTTTTCCCTTTGTAATCAGTGATTGTCTAGAGTCCCTGCTACATACGTCTCGTGTCTGAGCAGTTGAATTGCAACTCCACGTTGTCTCTGTACTGATGTTTTGCCTGTTTGATTGCCTTACGGAGGGAATAACTGGACTGTTTGTATTCGATCATATTCACAGTCACCTTGCCGTGGTTAAATGCGGTGGTTCGCGCTTTCAGTCTTACAATAGACATACAATATCAATATAGACAATATTGGTTCTTCCATATACAGTGGGTATCATAAGTATTCACCTCCCTTGGATTTTGTTGCATTACGAAGTGGGATTTAAATAGATTTAATTGTGATTTCTACACAAAATACTTCATAATTTCAAAGTGAAAAGAAATTTTACACATTTTTACAAATTAATAAAAAATAGTTGTGTAAGTATTCTCCTCCTTTGTTTTTCTAGCCTAAATTATTTCAGGTGTAAAACTAGGCTTAACAAGTCACATAATAAGTTACATGGTCTCTGTGTGAAATAATAGGGGTTGACATGATTTCTGAATGACTACCCGTTCCTCTGTCCCACATACATACAACATAAGGCCGCTTAGTCAGTATGGGCTGTGGGTTCGATAAAAAAAATTTTATGCACTCACTAACTGTAAGTCGCTCTGGATAAGAGCGTCTGCTAAATGACTAAAATGTAGTCAAGTATTGAATTTCAACTACAAATACCAGGGAGCTTTTCAAAAGCCTCATAAAGAAGGGCAGTGATTTGTAGATGGGCAACAATAACAAATCAGACACTGAATATCTCTTGAAGAAGCCTGGAACTGCTACCTTATCCTGGACCTGCTGTTTTGACCCTTTGCTGTTTTGACCCTCTCTCTCCCTCTCGCTCTCTCTACTGCACCTGCTGTCTCGACCTCTGAATGCTCGGCTATGAAAAGCCAACTGACATTTACTCCTGAGGTTCTGACCTGTTGCACCCTCTATAACCACTGTGATTATTATTTTACCCTGCTGGTCATCTATGAATGTTTGGACATCTTGAAGAACGACCTAGTCTTAATGGCCATGCACTCTTATAATCTCCACTGGCACAGCCAGAAGAGGACTGGCCGCCCTTCAGAGCCTGGTTCCTCTCTAGGTTTCTTCCTAGGTTCCTGCCTTTCTAGGGAGTTTTTCCTAACCACCGTGCTTCTTCATCTGCAATGCTTACAGATTGGGGTTTTAGGCTGGGTTTCTGTTGATCTGCTGATATAAAAAGGGTGTGATGGAAAATGTTATGTTTGTGCTTTTCCAATAACCAATTTCTGTGTTCATGCAAGTGACTGATTGAACGGATCCTCAATATGAGTATCTGCAATTTGGCAGTACACCCAGAACTTTCTTTTGAGAACGAAAGGATATCTCAGTTTCAAGGTCTCAGCTTGGAGAGAAGAAGCCTTGTGAGGTGTTGGTCGGTCACATGCATGAACCAAAACTTTAATGATGAATTAATTATCAATAGTGAATAAGCTAAATCATGCAAATACAACTTGTCTGTGTAAGTATATAAGAGATCTAACGGGACTGCCCCGACAGAGCTCCTGACAGACGTTCACTATGGTGTATCAAGTTTGTTGGAACCTCTCCAGTTAACTGTTCATAAACAATGATTCATTTAAGATTGACTTAGAGTGTCCCTGTGTAGAATTTAAACAACAAGGGCTTCATAAATAAATGTGATTCATTGATTTGATTGATTAAGCATGGTCAAGTTCATAATTATGCTGTGGATTATGTATTAAACCACCCAGACACAAAGATAGTCGTCCTTCCGAACTGAGCTGCAGGACAGGAGGGAAACTGCTCAGGGATGCCACCATTGGTGATTTTAAAACAGCTACGGAGTTCAATGGCTGTGATGGGAAAAAACTGAGGATGGATCAACAACATTGTAGTGACTCCACAATAATGACCTAAATGACAGAGTGAAAAGAAGAATACAAATATACAGAATAATTATATTCCAAAACATGCATCCTGTATCACTAAAGTAATACTCAAGAAAGAAACATGGAAAAGGAATACACTTTTTGCATTTACATTTTAGTCATTTAGCAGACGCTCTTATCCAGAGCGACCTACAGTCAGTGAGTACATACTTTTTCATACTGGCCCCACGTGGGAATCGAACCCACAACCCTGGTGCTGCAAACGCCATGCTCCACCAACTGAGCTACACGGGACCTAAATGCAAAGCCAAGAAGACACTGAATGTTCCTGAGTGGCCAAGTAATTTTTGTTTTGCTTACAGTGCCTTCGGAAATATTCAGACCCCAACACCTTTTCCACATTTTGTTATGTTACAGCCTTATTCTAAAATGTATTACATATTTATTTTGCCTCAGCAATCTACACACAATGCCCCAATAAATGCAAATTTATTAAAAATAACAGAAATTCTTTATTAACATAAGTAATCAGACCCTTTGCTATGAGACTCGAAATTGAGCTCAGGTTCATCCTGTTTCCATTGCTCACCCTTGAGATGTTTCTACAACTTGATTGGAGTCCACCTGTGGTAAATTCAATTGATTGGACATGATTTGGAAAGGCACACACCTGTCTATATAAGGTCCCACAGTTGACAGTGCATGTCAGAGCAAATACCAAGCCATGAGGTCGAAGGAATTGTCCGTAGAGCTCAGAGACAGGATTGTGTCGAGGCACAGATCTGGGGAAGGGTACCAAACAATTTCTGCAGCATTGAAGGTCCCCAAGAACACATTGGCCTCCATAATTCTTAAATAGAAGAAGTTTGGAACCACCAAGAGTCTTTCTAGAGCTGGCCGCCGGGCCAAACTGAGCAATTGGGGGAGAAGGGCCTTGGTCAGGGAGGTGACCAAGAACCCGATGGTCACTCTGACAGAGCTCCAGAGTTTCTCTGTGGAGATGGGAGAACCTTCCAGAAGGACAACCATCTCTGCAGCACTCCACCAATCAGGCCTTTATGGCAGAGTGGCCAGACGGAAGCCACTCCTCAGTAAAAGTCACATGACAGCCCGCTTGGAGTTTGCCAAAAGGCACCTAAAGGACTCTCAGACCATGAGAAACAAGATTCTCTGGTCTGATGAAACCAAGATTGAACTCTTTGGTCTGAATGCCAAGCGTCATGTCTGAAGGAAACCTGGCACCATCCCTACGGCAAAGCATGGTGGTGGCAGAATAATTCTGTGGGGATGTTTTTCAGCGTCAGGGACTGGGAGACTAGTCAGGATCGAGGCAAAGATGAACGGAGCAAAGTACAGAGAGATCCTTGATGAAAACCTGCTCCAGAGTGCTCAGGACCTCAGACTGGGGCGAAGGTTCACCTTCCAACAGGACAACGACCCTAAGCACACAGCCAAGACAACGCAGGAGTGACTTCGGGACAAGTTTCTGAATGTCCTTGAGTGGCCCAGCCAGATCCCGGACTTGAACCCGATCGAACATCTCTGGAGAGACCTAAAAATAGCTGTGCAGCAACGCTCCCCATCCAACCTGACAGAGCTTGAGAGGATCTGCAGAGAGGAATGGGAGAAACTCCCGAAATACAGGTGTGTGAAGCTTGTAGCGTCATACCCAAGAAGACTCGAGGCTGTAATCGCTGCCAAAAGTGCTTCAACAAAGTACTGAGTAAAGTGTCTGAATACTTATGTAAATGTAATATTTCTGTTTTTTAGGATGATCAATGGAAACAGGATGCACCTGAGCTCAATTTCGAGTCTCATAGCAAAGGGTCTGAATACTTACGTAAATAAGGTATGTTTTTTATTTGTACGACATTTGCAAAAATGTATAAAAACCTGTTTTTGATTTGTCATTATGGGGTATTGTGTGCAGATTGATGAGGGGAACAAATCATTTAAAACATTTTAGAATAAGGCTGTAGCGTAACAAAATGTGGAAAAAGTCAAGGGGTCTGAATACTTTCCGAATGCACTGTAAATCTGCTTTAAAATGTATGGCAAGACTTAAATTGTTGTCTAGCTATGATCCAACACCTTGAATATTCTGAGAATAATAATGGGCAAATATTGCACAATACAGGTGTGCAAAGCTCTTAGAGACCTACCCTAGACGATTCACAGCTGTAATCGCTGCCAAAGGTGTTTCTAACATGTATTGAGGGGTGAATACTTATCTAAATCAAGGTATTTAATTTTTCATTAATCTTGGGTAGATTGCTGACAAAAAAAATTACAATTAAATCAATTTTAATCCCACTTTGTAACACAATAAAATGTGAAGAAATCCAAGGGGGGTGAATATTTTCATACCCACTGTATATCAAGAAATATGGAAGATGTATTAAGTTTTCCCTATTTGTTTACTTTTCACTTTGTCTATGAAAAGCTTGATTAATTTAGCATGAAAATATTTGAGGCCATGAGAGTGAGGGACAGAGCAACCCACAGGCGGAAGACAACTTTTGTTTGTGAGACGGTCGCAATTAGAGAGTCATTACGATCATTAAACATCTGGTCAACAGTCAGAAATAGACTTATCGCCCTCCCTCCCTCCCACCTTCTCCTTGCTCTTTTTTACCTCTACTTTCCATTGGAATGTTTTACCTTTATCACATTACATTGATTGTTTTAAAAGGTCCAATGCAGACATTTCTGGTTAACAATTAAGTACCTTACTGTGATTATTTTCAATTACAAATGGTCAAAAAGAAACAATAGCTTTTTAGCAAACAGCAATTTCTCAAGCAAGTTTTGCTAGGACTGTCTGGGTGTGGTCTGAGTGGGGAGGGGAAAACTGAAAACTAGCTGATATTAGCAGAGAGATTTGGAACTTTTTCTTATAGGTCTATTAACTAATTTACCACCTGGTGATGTTACTAGGCAGGCCAAAACTCCATCCCACCAAAACAGGCTGAAATTACAGGCGGTCTTTTCAAATAGCTCTTACACAACAAGGGGATTATAAACATTTTCACAATTTCACAATATTATTCCAACCTCATAGTGTGGGAAATCATGTTTTTGACTGCACTGGACCTTTAAGCCTCATCAAAATGGCATAGGTGAGGTGTCTGTGGCAAGAATATCCCTGTAGTGGAAATGTACTCTCCACCTGGCCGTGCGAATAGATCAGGTCTGTCTCAGGTAAATCCCATACATCACTGAGGTTTAAGAGGGCTAGGAGCCAAAAATCTTTATTGTCTAGACTCTAGTGTCTCTATTGACTGTAATCTCATTATTGTTATCTGAAGGTATGCTAAACAAGGCTAACACATTTGCTAACATTCGCTAATATAATCCAAGGTTTTGATCATGTTAGCTAACAGTCTGAAAAGGTAGTGTACTGAACCTGAAAATAGAAGCAGAGGGTGCTACTGGATGTTAGGGGAGAAACTCATTCAACAATGATGTTATATATATTTTTTTACTAGTGGTTGGTATATGGTGGAGAATAGAGGCCCAGCATCTTTAGCTCTTTACTGTACCTCTTCCGTTGCATATGGCCACCTCCTCTGCCTTCTGCTCTTTGGCCCCTGGCTCCGGTCCCTGGCTCTTGTTCAGCATCTGCTTGAGGAGGCCCCGGTTCATCTCCACCCTCTCTGCCAGAGATATGGAGCTCCCGTTGCTGCACACACTCTCCAGGCTGTCGGCCCTCCACAGGCCAACCGTTGCCCCCTGGGACCCCAGCACGCCCATACACCGCCTCAGACCCTCCAGGCTGTCCCTGCGTAGCAGCTCCCTGCACACCCTGCTGTGCCCCTTGGCCTTCCTCTGCTGGCCCCCAGGGGCCCTGATCGAGGGCCTGTCTGGGGCCGGAGGCTTGTCCTCGGTCAGCAGCAGCGTTTCGGGCCTGGTGGCCTTCCAGAAGCCCTTGGGAGGGACCCAGGGTTTAGCCATGTTAGCGGCACTAACGTTATCCTCCAGGGGACTAGCGTTGGCGCTAACGTCAGAGAGGTTCTCCAGGCTGGAGCCCTCGCCCAGGCTGCGTGGGAGTGCTAGCAGGCTGATGTCCGACCCAGCCATCCCTGCCTCCTCTATCAGGCTGTCAGGCACAACTGGCCGGAATGTGTAACCCTGGGACTCTGCATCGTCGTCGCTACTGCTGGAGCCCCAGCTCACAAGTGAGGGACTGAATAGGGAGGAGGGCACAGGACAGGCCTTCTTAGCCATGCCAGCCTTGAAGGCTGCCTTTTTGTGCTCAGATAGGGCCTTGACCTTAGATTTCACGGCTGATCCAGGGGTCCTGGGTTGCTGCTGGAGCAGGAGCCGGCTCAGGGGGCATGGGGAGGGCGAGGTGGGTGTGGCAGGTGCCGGTCTGAGGCTGGAGGAGGGTTGGTCGTCTTCTGTGCCAGGGTGGAGGGTCTGGGGCTCAGCCCTCTGTGGCACACGGGGCATGGGGAGAAAGGAGTTTGCCGAGGCTACTTTCTCCATGGCCACATCACAGTCAGGGGAACATTAGCGCTGTGGAGGAAAGAGAAGAGAAAGACACAAAGGATTTTTTTTTTTGGGGGGGGGGGGCGGCAGGTAGCCTAGCGGTTAGAGCGTTGGGCCAGTAACCGAAAGGTTGCACGTTCGAATACCCGACGTGCCCTTGAGCAAGGTACTTAATCCTAATTTGCTCCAGGGGTGCCATAGTACTATGCCTGACCCTGTAAAACAACACATTTCACTGCACCTATCCGGTGTATGTGACAATTTTTATGTGAGATGCTGATTCGAAAGAGAGAACTATGTTTGTAATTTTAAGGTCACCGTTTTTGGAACTACAGCCTTTTAAATCTGTACTTTGATATGACAAATAACTGTTCAATCAAACTACAATCCACAAAGGGCTTCAACCTGAGAGAAACCTATGTCCCTCATTAAAAGGGAGATAAACACAAAGGAAGTCTCTTTCCCCTGTCTTTGTATAAAGTTTGTAAGAGGCCCAGTGCAGTCAGAAACGTGATTTTGCTGTGTTATATATACATTTCCAATCAAATTATGATAATGCCCTTTTAATGTAAGAGCTGTTTGAAAAGACCGCCTGAAATTTCAGCCTGTTTTGGTGGTTTTGGCCTGCCTAGTAACATCACCAGGTGGTAAATTAGTTAATAGACCAATAAGAAAGAGAGTTCCAAACCCCTCTGCCAATGACAGCTAGTTTTCAGTTTTCCGCTCCCCACTGAGACCAATCCCAGACAGTCCTAGCAAAATTCTTGCTTGAGAAATTGCTCTTCGCTAAGAAGCCATTTTGGTTTCTTTTTGACAATTTTAACTGAAAACAATTACAGTAAGGTACCAGAAATGATTTTATCTTGAGATTAAAAACAGCTGCATTGGACCTTTAAGAGAGACCTGGCCTTTCTGTTAAGTAACATGGTGGGCAGAAGTACAACATTGCCTGGCAGCTAATTGCTATTGCAACCCTCTCTGATATTCATTCCACTTTGAGGACACCACTTTGTCACCAAGGGTAACACGATGGCGACGATAAATGATGTCACAAACAGACCAGCCAAAGGATAACCAGCAGACTAGTCTTAAGAACACTACTACATTAACAGTGTGAATTGTGACCATTCCAGAGACTGTGGAAACAGGTTTTAGGAAAAGAGGAATCTAATAGACTACTGTATCCTATTATATCACATCAAAATTAATTATGTAGCACTCAAAGCTATAGAAAACTATGGAAAAACATGTGTACATCACCCCTTTCCAACAGAGATTGCCACATATATACACACACACGTTTGAATAATTTTCTGCAGTAAATTCAGAGAATATTTGATAAAACACTAGGCAGGCTTTCGCAACAGTATGAAGAAAAGAACAGAATGGCTGCCAGAGGCACTTATATACAGAATGTATCATCCTCGGTGTTCTGATAAATATAGTGTTTATTGAAAGGTAACACAGCAACAACAGGTCAGATTATTACTCTGACCATAACTGACTTGCTACTCATCATACCCATATTAAACTACCTATCGCTATAAACATAGGCCTACAGTGCACATGAGTGTTTATTAATGTTAACGAGCGGAATTCATGAAATACCACAGCAGGCTGGTGAGGGGAGGACGGCTTATAATAATAATGTCTGGAATGGAGTTAATGGAATGGTATCAAATACATGGAACCATGCATTTAATGCGCTTGATACCATTCCATTCCTGCCATTACTAGGAGCCCGTCGTCCCCAATGAAGGTGCCACCAGCCGCCCATGTGAAATGCATACCATCTTCACCAAACAAACCCCAACACAGTACTGTGCTTCTGAAGACACACACCCTGCAAACACTGACAGCTCAGTAGAGAGTACATGCTCACATGAGAGAAAAACACAGTCCTGTTACCTGACAAGATACACTGAGTGTACAAAACATTAGGAACACCTTCCTAATATTGAGCTGCACCTCAGAAAAAGCCTCAATTCGTCGGGGCATGGACTCTACAAGGTGTTGAAAGCGTTCCACAGGGATGCTGGCCCATGTTAACTCCAATGCTTCATACAGATGTGTCAAGTTGGCTGGATGTCCTTTGGGTTCTGGACCACACACGGAAACTGTTGAGCGTGAAAAACCCTCCAGTGTTGCATTTCTTGACACACTCAAACCAGTGCGCCTGGCACCTATTACCATACCCCGTTCAAAGACAGTGGTGGAAAAAGTACCCAAATTGTCATACTTGAATAAAAGTAAAGATTCCTTCATAGAAAATCACTCAAGAAAAAGTGAAAGTCACCCAGAAAAATACTACTTGAGTAAAAGTATTTGGTTTTAAATATACTTAAGTATCAAAAGTAAATGTAATTGCAAAAATATACTTAAGTATCAAAAGTAAAAGTATAAATAATTTCAAATTGCTTATAATAAGCAAGTCAGACAGCACAAGTTTTTTTTTTTTACGGATAGCCAGGGGCACACTACAACACGCAGACATAATTTACAAACAAAGCATTTGTGTTTAGTGAGTCCTCCAGATCAGAGGCAGTAGGGATGACCAGGGATGTTCTCTTGGTAAGTGAGTGAATTTGACAATTTTCCTGTCCTGCTAAGCATTGAACATTTAACGAGTACTTTTGGTTGTCAGGGAAAATGTATGGAGTAAAAAGTACATTATTTTCTATAGGAATGTAGTGAAGTAAAAGTAGTCCAAAATATAAATAGTCGAGTAAATTACAGATACCAAAAAAAAATACGTAGTGCTTTAAAGTATTTTTACTTAAGTACTTTACACCACTGTTCAAAGGCACTTCCATACCCCATTCAAAGGCCCATTCACCCTCTGCATGGCACACATACACAATCCATGTCTCAATTGTCTCCAGGCTTAAAAATCCTTCTTTAACCTGCCTCCTCCCCTTCATCTACACTGATTGAAGTGGATTTAACAAGCGACATCAATAAGGGATCATAGCTTTCACCTGGGTTCTAATTTGATTTAATTAGTGTGTGCTTAATACATAGGGCTCCCTGACAAGTTAACACCACCCACAGGCCTCAACTGTGAGCTGTCAAGTACCCACAAACCTCCTCTACTTAACCACACAAAGCTATACTGTAGTGCACCACACAGTACAACACCACCAGGCAAAGATGGAACATATTGTATTTGCTGTGCGCTTGTGTCACTTGAACATGATCTACCATCAAAAGTCACAGACACAGCTTTGATGGGAATGTGTTAAGAGTAAATACAGAGTAGCTTATTAAAGGTGTCTTTTCAGACTTCTTCAACTTTCTCAACTGCCTCAAGTCAGACCAGGGCCCGTATTCATAAAGTGTCTCAGAGTAGGAGTACTGATCTAGGATCAGTTTTCCCCTTTAGATCATAGAGAATAATATTACAGGGACTGGGTGGGACCTGTTCCTAGATCAGCACTCCTAGCTACTCTGAGACACTTTATGAAGTGGCTACTATACCGTAGGGTTTTAATCATCACAGATTCTGTCAGGAACACAGCTGCTATCTCCAAATTCCAGGGAGCAACTGTGAGACGCAGAGAGCATGTTAGAGGTTGTAGGCTACACTTCCACACAGAATTGTACTTCACAACCTCTGCACTTGTGTTGAAATGCATGCCGTCACTGACCCGCAATGCATTTAAAAAAAACCTTTAGTCTTTTAGTAGACGCTCTTATCCAGAGCGACTTACAGTAGTGTGTGCATACAGTACATTTTCTCATACTGGTCCCCCGTGGGAATCGAACCCACAACCCTGGCGTTGCAAGCTCTACCAACTGAGCCACACGGGACCACAAGGTCAAGGTCAACGTATGAGACCAAGGGAGAGAAGGAAAACAATTGCTTCTGCAAGACTGGGTTTCTTCTATAAGAAACTGTGTTATTCTACCATCATTTATCATAATTTCCTATCATGGTCCCACCTCTACTGAAATGCTAGGTTTGTAGTACACATGCAAATACGGTGGCCACAAAGGCTTTGAGAGATTTTGGCCTCTCCTGTCTGTATTTGAATTCAGACCAGAGATGACACCACAGATGCTGTGATCACAGCTACATTGAATGCTAAAGTTCCAATTGTATTTCAAATAATTACATATAGTTTCTTCCTTCTTTAGGTAATAGTTTTAGAGAGTATAGTCTCCCTGACAGAATAAAGAGGGGAAAGTTGTGGGGTCTTACCTCTCCCTCTTCCATTGGTGTTTGGAGACTGAGGTAGCTCTGCCTCTGGTCTGCTCTCTCAAATCCCATTCCTAAATTCTGTGAAAGCTCAGCCAATGCCTTTTCCGTTATTTAAGCGACACCTTCTATTTAGAAACAAATGCCTTTTCCTCTCTCTATTAGGAGAGCGAAACAATTATATGAGAAAAAGAAAAAGGGAGAAGAGAAGCGCGCGCTCGCTAGAGATGCGCCTCTACTCCCTCTCTCTCTCGCCCTCTCTCTCTCTCCTCTCTCTCTCTCTCTCTCTCTCTCTCTCTCTCTCTCTCTCTCTCTCTCTCTCTCTCTCTCTCTCTCTCTCTCTCTCTCTCTAGCTGTGTTGGGTCAGTTTCAAGTGTGGTGCTCATCTCCAGTGAGCACTCTGGGATTTTCACCAACCTTCTCCTCCCCTCAACAGCCCCTGCTGCCAACTATCTAGCTCCTCTACCCTCCTTCCTCTGTCAAACCATCTACAGCAGGCAGTGGGCAGCAACTAATTGTAAAAGGTGATCAACATGTGTGGAAACCTCAGGGTTGCTTGGGGATACAGTCTTGAGCAGCTGGTAGAGGATTGGCCACAGAAGTTCTTACTGGAAAGCAAAGGGCAGCTCTATTGGTGGAGGGGCTGAAAATCTGCCCTCTGTGGGTGGAGTTTCATAACTTCACCCTTGAATTTGAGAGAGAGAGGGAGAAAAAAAAGAAGCAAAGGAATCTTAAATGCAGAGAGTAGAGGAAGTGCAGAAGTCTCCAGGCTCATGTTCCAGTTCCTGCTGCCTCGGAA